TCAGCGATTTCTAAACAAAGAAAAAATGGCGGAACAGGAAGTGCAACAAGCGTAATAAATGTTCAGTCATATAGCCACGAATAGTATGCAATAAATTACACAACAATCAACTTTGATGCATGTTGGAGGTGGGCTCCTGCAACGGGAACACAGCAACAGAAAAAAATTCTGAAATAAAAGTGTAAGCCCCCGCCCGTCCAGCAGCCGCTCCCTTTTACACCGCACAAAAAACACGACATCCACCGCAGACTGCCAGCCAGTCAGCCAGCCAGCCAGCCAGAGGAGCCATCCAAATGGCCATGCACTAAAAAACCGCGCAGCAATCTACCTATAGCATACATCATTTTTCGTAGTCGTTTTGTTGCTATGTACCCTACCAGGGGGTATTATGATTATTAGAAGGGATGGAAGCAGAAAAGGAAGCATCTTTGGTCCCATTTTACTTAGAGTTGCCGGGCGTGGCAGCGAAAGAGATCGTTGAGCTGCAAAGCCGCATTGCGGAAGAAGTCACGCCTCTAGCTGACTCCCAGCCACCGGAAACTTATCTTCCGCATTCGTATGCTCATGGATTCCATAAAAACGATCAATCTGCAGGGTATCATTTTCATGGTGCCCTTTTGCTTGTTTTTCGTTTATGATCTCCTTTTTTAATAAAAAGTGAAAGCAAAGGTAAATAAAAATAGACATCATCGTCGTCATAAAACATGGCTCCCGGTGTGCGGCAAAGCGATTTTGCAACATTTAGCACAGGCTTACCTTTTTTTCTTGCGTTTGATATTTCCAATGACATAGACGTAGGGCCTTGAATTTTTACTAAAACTGAGTTTCAGTTAAAAAACTCCTTATTTAAAGCACAGATTTATCTGACGTTAACCAAATAATTAACCATATAACATTGTTTTAATTCAGTTAAATAAGCTCTATCAAATTGGTTAACTTTAGTTGCATTAATTTTTTCCACCTGTGAAGCAATAAAAGTTCCGACAAAATTAGTTTATTAATTGTGGATATTCCTATTCCAACTGAAAGACAAACCAACAGAAGCCAATCAAATAGTTTCGAAGTGGAGTTTACTTAAAACAAATAATTCTGTTTCCATAGGAAAACTCGTACCCCTTTCGTCCCTCACCCACGCCTATCTTCTATGTTATCCCTCTGGTGGCAGCAGCCACTGGTTTTTATGTGTTTTATTGGCTACTCCGCAACACGAGTCATTAAAATGATTCACTCAACTGTAGCCAGGGTCTATTGTTGTATCTGGTTATTGTCATGGCTTACTTATACATATACATACATACAATTTATTGCATTTATATCTATATATTTTTTTGTTCATTCGGCAACATTTAGTAGAGCCATTTACTTAACACTTTTATACATATGTAACAGCAGCTATTCCCCGTTCCAATAATGCAATATTATTGGGTGGAAATGTTTCAAATTTCATGAATATTTTATTAGGCATTTACTCGTATTTGATGTTTTGAATTGTCTGAATTTGAACAGACAAGGATTCAAAATTAGAGAATATTTATCCCTGATTGCATGTTGATAATATTGTAAATTATTATAATGATTTTGCGGTGTGTAGGTTGGAACACTTGTGATGGCTATTTTGCGGCTTTAGAGACACAATGTTTTAAATTTGTTTGAAAGTATCTTTACTCTAAGAGATTTCCATTCAATCTGCTTTCTTTATTGATGGAAAACAATCCACAAATCTGGTGAAACCCAAAAAAAAAATCTGCAATTTAAGCTCTGTACTTAAGCCATATCAATTTTCATGTATGCCTAAAGGCATACAGAATGTCAGAAATAAATAATTAAACGATAATAATATGTATGTACATATACATATACATATGTATGTATGTTCTACATTTTTTTCCACAAATTAATTGTCAAAGTTCATGCAGATTTTAAATTTGAACATACTCGTGTATGTGCTCTCACACACTCATAAATGTTTGCTTGCGAATACAAAATTGAGGTTCCTGATTAATTGTATGAGAGTGAAAATTGAATATCAAACTCAACAAGATTAATTTTCAACACACACACTAACACACCAATAGAGAGAGAGAGAGAGAGAGAGAGAGAGAGAGTGAGTGTGGAAAATGCACTCTTATTTCATTCAAAATTCGAACCTCATATATTTTGCGGATTTGGGAGAAAAAGTTGCTAAATAAATTATGGTGTGTACTAAATGAAAGTCAAGTAAAACAAATAATTTGGTTACTCTATGAAGTGGGGTTTTATACTTTAAAGCTTACATTTTGTAGAGGAAATTGATAGGAAGAGAAGTTTGATAGTCTGATAGTCTTGATAGGAAGAGAGTCTATGATATGAATAATGGAAATATATTTTCATTCTTTTATGGTTCCCCTTCTTTTAATTATTTCCTTATGCTGTAACCATTTGATTTAATAGTCATAGACTAATTAGAAAGCTTAATCAAATGTTATAACTTTATGGCTTTTGACATACACACCACACCGTACACACATACACACAAGGAAAAAATCAGCCCGAAAATGCCAGCGGGCTATTAAACAAATTGTGTGCCACGAAAAATGGTATGCATAAATGTTGATTTAAAAGCTTCTGAATAGATTAACTGCTGGAGAGTGGATTGTTGATTGTGTTTGCGTAAATTTGATGTGGAGGCCTTCTGCCCGTATATCATTGTTTATTAGTCATATAAATATAATGCCAAAAGTAAAGGCAGTTTATGGCGCTCTCTCTCTCTCCTCTCCTGTCAGTCGAAGGCTGCTCCCGAAACACCACACTCTCCAGGCCCGGCTGCTCCTTCTCGTAACCTCTGTGTGTGTGTGTCATTTACATTGGCGTAATACCCCGAAAAAGCGGAAAAGCGAATATCCCCAATACTTAATAGATGCGTAGGAGATGCCTGCCTCGTGTCTGGTGTCTTACTTTTCCACGATATATTGCAATGGTTTTCCTTTTTGGTGTGTGCGAGAGTGTCGTAAAATTTATACGGTCTTTAAAATCATATAAAAAGTGTTAATTTTCCATGTGTTGCTTCGGTCACCCACCCACTCAAGGGAGCAGCTCTCTCAAAGTGCTCTGTGAAAATGGAAAAGCAAGGTGAATCGGGTAGAATTTTTATGAGGCAATGAGGATAATGTGCGGGGGGGTTTGACTATTAAAGTGATGTGTGGAGATAAACAAACATCATTTGACTTTCAAATTTATTGATAAATCTAAGATCTTATGACTCTTCACCCAACCGAAACCTCAAAGGTCGTAACCTGCGAATAGGAGGCACATAAATGGAATTGAGGGGAAAAATGTAACTGGGGAAAACTTGGTTAACTTGGTTAATGAAAAGGTTTGAAAATATGTGACAATATGTAAAGGAAATTATCTCTTAGGAATAAACTGATTTTATAGAAAAGTCCAATTAATTCTTTATTCAATTCCAAGATTTATTTACTTACAAAAACCTAACTTAAGCTCAACTTATCTCAACTTAAAGTAATTCTTATGATATGATTCCTAATGACAGCCACACTCTTTGGCCACTGATTTTTGATATTTGGTTAGATCAATTATATCCTCACTCAAATATCTCAGTATGGTAATGGAACCCAAGACTGTGGGCACACAGCAGGGTTTGGGCAGATGCGGCTGCTTGAGATGCATCAGGGTCTGGACGATGGCATGATTTGTGGCATTCATTTTTGTGCCCAGTGGAAAGTTGCAGCCACCGCCACAGAAGTATGCCTCGAATTTCTTGGGTGCAATCACCCAGTTGTGCATTTGCAGCTCCTTGAAGTCCACAGTGAAATTCAGGCGCTCGCAGGACTGTGGCGGCTTGTACAGGTCCATGGGCGGCGGTGGAGGGCGTTTTGGTGGGTTATTGGCCCTGCGCTTCTGCAGATCCCGCTTGAAGCGAAGTTTCTGTATTTTAACCAGCAGTTCGGGACCATTGAAGTAGCCCACAATAAAGGGTTCTAGGCTGGAGCGACTGGCCGCAGGGGGCACCAAGCCGGCAGCGAAGGTGCTCAGATGAGAGTCGCCAATGGAGAAGCGGAGCTCGTGACGCTGCTGGGGGCTTCGTCCCTGCAGCCAGATCCTCAGGGTGGGCGTCAGATTGAACTCCAGCCAACCTCTGTGGCTGGTTGTGGTGTTCACGGAGCCCAGTATCTGGTAGGAAAAATCCTGACGATTGTCGAGTCTCCTGTAAACAGACACCGTCAAGTTGTCCCTCCTGTCCACGAGACTCTCCTGTTTGTAGACCCGCAGCATGGCCTGAACTAGTGCCAAATCCACAGGGACATCATTCGTATTGAATGTGATGTGCAGATCCAAGTCATTCGAATGATCCTCCGGCTTGACGCGACTTGAAAAGGTCAGAATGCTGTTGCAACTCGCAATCTCTTGACGGTCCTCCTTGGATATCAGGATGTCATCATCCAGCGAACGCTTGTGCCGCTGATTTAGCACCTCTTGGGGTTCTTGTCCCTCGTTGATTTCATTGTAAACTTCCAGCAGGAATTTCGAGGCCGAGTTGTGTAGATTCGGTTGTGCCTGGCGTCGCGGCCGATCGCCCAAGTCCAGTAGATCTATCATTTCCATTTGTTCGCTCAAAGGACGAGTATCATAGATGGGTGGCTCCATATGTTGGTTGGTGTCTATATAGGTGGTGCTCTTTACGCAACTTGCGAGTGTCAATACGAGGAATAAAATGAACATGATGTTTACTGGAAGAGTGATCGTTGCAGAGTGAATTCAGTGAGGGAAGAACGAGCGTTTTTAAATAACGTTTAGGTAGGAATACCCTCAGCAACAGGTACAGAAAATAGGGTTCAGAATTTCCCTTTTGAAACCCAATTGATTCAGTCCTTTCCCAAATAAATCGAAGCAGGTAACCCTTCTTGGGACGGGGCTTACTAATAAGTCAATTTACAACCAGATAATCTCTTTCTGCTTCCATAAACCCATTTAACGAATACCTTCTCATATTTCCTTTCCAGGTTTCTTGCAAATCGAAAACAGTCGCGAAGAGGACCAAGGCAAATACGAATGTGTGGCCGAGAATTCTGTGGGTACCGAGCACTCAAAAGCCACCAATCTGTATGTGAAAGTACGTCGTGTGCCGCCCACCTTCTCGCGTCCACCAGAGGCCATCAGTGAGGTGATGCTTGGAGCAAATCTGAATCTATCCTGCATTGCTGTCGGGTCCCCAATGCCGCATGTCAAGTGGATGAAGGGTAAATGCCAAACAATTTTGAACAGAAAATTATTATCATTAATACTCTATCCTTAAGGTGCGCTGGATCTAACGCCCGAGAATGAGATGCCAATCGGTCGTAATGTGCTGCAGTTGATCAACATTCAAGAGAGCGCCAATTACACTTGCATTGCGGCCTCCACTTTGGGGAACATCGACTCTGTGTCGGTGGTTAAAGTGCAATGTAAGTAAAATTATATTGTGTAGATAGAAATATAACTAATGTTTCATTCATTTAAAGCCCTTCCCACGGCCCCCACCGATGTGCAAATCTCTGAGGTGACCGCCACTTCGGTGCGTCTGGAGTGGTCATACAAGGGTCCCGAGGATCTGCAATACTATGTCATCCAATACAAGCCGAAGAACGCGAATCAGGCTTTCAGTGAGATCAGTGGCATCATCACCATGTATTATGTGGTGCGTGCTTTGAGTCCTTATACGGAGTACGAGTTCTATGTGATAGCTGTGAATAATATTGGACGGGGTCCGCCCTCGGCCCCAGCGACCTGTACCACCGGTGAGACAAGTAAGTATTAAATACTCACGTATTATTCCACATTCCCTCTTCAAAAGCATCATTTAACTAACTGCCAACTGTCTTTGTCTTTGTATTTCTCTCCATGCTGCTGCTGCTGTCATAAAAAGGATTTTCAAGCAATTTCATTTTGAATTTCTAGACTTTGAATTTCTAGATGCAATTTTTATTTTCTCTGTACGATATGGTACTAAACCCTTTTCGAATATGTTCTCTCTTTCTCTCTCTTGTTATTTCTCTCTTTGTATTTTTGTGTGCTTTCCACCGGCTTTAGGCGATTTCTCATTTGGTGGCACAAGTAAGTATCCATCCTCATGGCAAACAAAATTTTATGGCTGGCCAAAAAACGGCCAAAACAATTTCAATAACAATTGTTGAGCAGCGGAAAATGCTCAATACCCTGAAACCCAAAATGGCTGGAGCAGAGGAGTAGAGGAAGTTGAAAAGGGCATAAAATGAAAGTAAAAAGAAGGAAGAAAAGAAAAAAAGCGGAATAACAAGTAGCTAGATAGAATCAAAGGTAAATGCAATGCTCTGGAAATCGTTGCATACGCAGCTGCGGGTAAACTCTGATGTTCTCTGATGTATGTGCGGGAGGGCTGAGTGGGCGTGGACGTGGACGTGAACGTGTAGAAAGGCAGCTGCCAGTCGCTGCCATTTCTGCACTCTTTTTTCATACCCTCGAAAAAGGCAGCTGCCACTCGCACTTTTCTATGCCCCAGAAATGGGTAAAATGATTTGTATCAGCTCTTGGACATTCGCAGAGGGAAGAAAATACAATATGCATATTTTTTGGTATATATCAATTATTTCCCTTAAAGTTTATTCTGCTGTTTGTTTTGTATATTCAAGTATATAATTCGAAGACTAACAATAATAATTGTGAAGGAAAGAAAGAATTAAGTCAATCTCCGCTCTTAATAATAATGCACTTTGCAAGTCTCTTTGTAGATACAATTAATTACATTACAATCAATTCCATAGCTCCCAAAAGTAGTACTTTTGTATGAACAATTTCCATGATTCCAAGAATATTCCAAACCCAAGTCCAAGAAGCTTCAGTGTTTATTCTTTATCCTGCTTTATCTGCTTTATTCTGAAGCATGTACACAGCATATTCCAGGGTATCCATACATTCTCTACCACAAAACTATTCGTTCTTTCTTGTGTGTTCCCTTTTCCTGTGGCCCCGCAAACAACGCATAAAGTTTGCATTGTTATGCGTTCGTATGAATGCTCTTTGGAGTCTTTGTGTGGGTATGTTCTCCTGCATGGCCCTCTTCGTGCCGGCAACGTTCTGTTCCTGGTGGCCCTGCCAATTGCGCGTAAGCGTACGCTTGTCTGACATGCCTTTCCGGCTGATACTCCTACTCAATGCACGGATGAGGTTTTTTTTCTGCAACAGTGGCAGCGTAGCGGCAGCAGCATGTCGTATAAAAGTTGAAAACTTTTATTGCTGCAATTATGCTTATCGCTTGCCCAATATCGTTTCCAAATATTATTTCGATAGCAACGTTTATGGGCAAATGCACGGGACTACAGGCTAGAGCAACTACAAACTACAGGCAGACAGTCGTCGGATTGAGATTCGGATGCGAAGGAGTGTAGCATCATCCCCAGGTCAGACGCAATGCTTAACACGTGTCATTTGGTTTAGGTAGCAGCTGAGACAGCAGCCAAGACCCCCAAGTGTGGGTGGTGGTGGTGGATAATCCTGCAGCTTTGTTTATGGCTTTGTAACCGTACACTACCAAAGTGGAAAAGCACATTAACTGAATGGAGAAGTATTGTTAGGGCCAGCAGCTGATGATGCGAATGAAGCACATGAGACTCAAAGGAGGACTGTGCAATATCCGAAGTGTTTTTTAAGTGTTGTTTAACTACTTTTTGGTCAGAGAATATTCGTAAAATGTATCTTTGAATTGAATATTAGGATACTTTTGATGTTTCATATAAGTTTTAAGTATTTTAATTAGTTATTAGGCATAAATCTGACAAAGAGGTCATGCTCAGAGCACAGAATTTTTCGCGTCGTTTTTTCTTACCTCTTTTCAATTGAAATTCTCTCCAAAAACTTGCAACTAATTGTCAGGCAATCCAATTGTCGAGTTCTTTATTATATTTACATACACAAAAATAGATATCAAAATCTGGCAAATATTTATAGACAGCACTTTTAAGCAATTTCTTTGCAAAAGATTTCATTACTCGTTTTGCTTAGTTCTAGGACAAAATTGTAACTTCGTTATTCTTCAGCCATTGCCATACAAAATAATCAAATATAAAAGACAAAAGTCTTGCCCTGAATCACAATATTTGCTCAACCCCAACCCCCCTGGAATGTGTAGATGAGAGATATGAGACAGTAAGGAGGAGACCTGCACTTTGGAAACCTAACAATTATCCAGGGCATCACCTTACACTGCTCCACTCATAGTAAGGACATGCCACAACCTTCCCTTCGGATGGTAGGAAGGACAAATATTCGTATTTCAAGACAGCTGCAGAGCAGCACTTGAGCGCCGTAATCAAAATTTACCTTTTAAGTGTCGAAGGAGAGTGCGGGAGCAGGAGCCGGTCGACCTAGGGCAAGCCTTTAACAGATCCTTTCGTCATGTAATCGGTTATATGGGCTGCACATGCTCCTCCAGACTCGTATCGCATCTATGATTCTCTGTAGAGAGGAGGATGCTGGATGTGGACGGAGGGTGGTTGGGTGGCAAGAATTTAGTGCCATGTACTTCTACTATAAGGAGTAGGCGTGTGAGCAGGCATGCAAGGGATACATATTAATGGAGCGTATCCGTATGTAATGTATATGCCCTTAAATGCAGCTTACGTGATGCTCTCTCCGCACTCCACTCTCCACTACTCTCTTCTCGCTCCTTCTCCCACTTGTATACAAACTCAGGCTAAGAGGAAGCCCAAGCAAAAATTGTTAGCCTCAATGCCTCTGTGTGTGTGTGTGTGTGTGTGCGTGTATGTGAGCTGCATGCAAATCTTGGCTATAACCAGGCAATGGACCAAAGAAACCCACACAGACGTACACCCCACATGAAGCAGAAGGAGGCAGTGGCACAGGCACATCCAGGGGTAGTAGCACTAGTGTAACAGATGAGATGACTGCGATATAAATTGTGGATAAAACTGCTGCAGCGCTTGTAGATATTGCAGCAGAAATTGTGAGAAATTGGAATTTATTGATTGCCCATTAACCAATTGAGGGAAAATGCATATACGTATACGTATAAAAAAATACTATACACACTCGTGCACCGCATGCACTGCAGGAAAATCATATTCCAGAATGCAGTTGGTAGCACTTTTCAGTCATAAATAGGTAGATCTATAAATGTGATTGAAAATGGCAACTAAAAAGGAGATTTACAAGCCCGTTTGAAGCGGTTCTTGGCAGGGCAGACATATTTATTATTTACTGATGATTTTCTTGGATGTTTACATAATGTTTCATACGTTTATCGCTTTCACGTGGAGTAGAAATTGATTGGGCATTCGACATAGACTACATAAATGCATATTCCATTGAACGATCATTAGTTCCAGACGTTCTAGTGATGTTATAGACAGGATTTCCACTCCTTTAAAAGCAGTTAAAGGGATAAGCCGCACTCTAAATATTATTTTATTTATTTCATGTGTACATGGCAGTTGAACGCAGAAATGGGTTGATAGATATCTTCCACTAATTAGCATTCATGTGTGTGTGGCAGAATGGACTAAATAGGGGAGAAGCAGATGCAAAAGCAAAAGCAGCTTCTGGCAATGCGGCCGATGCTTCTGATTGCGGGCTCCGACCCGGACTCCGGCTAGGAATGCAGTTGTCCGGCAAATTTGATGCCCGTGCAAATTCATTGCACAAAATTATGGACAGTGCTATCGGAGAGGGGGTGTAGTTGGATAAATCATTGTTTTGTGTGTGTGTGTGTGGGAGACAACAAAAATCAGTTTATAAATGCAAAATTCGCACTATAATGACCGCCAGGCTTCGACGCGCCATAACAATTTCCACAATATTCGTAGGGAGGCCAGAAATGTATGTTTCGCACCCGCACAATTCTAACGTTGTTTCTTCCAATTTCAAATTGCAATACGAAATGGAAGCACCAACACCCACTCCCCACCCCCACACGTAAAACAACAAATTGTGATGGATGGGAATTGTTTGAACAGCACGAAACATTTGTGTGTGTATGTGTGTGTGTGTGTGTGAATCCCCTCAGCCCCCAGTTCAACGTAGCCGCTGCTGTCCCACTTATTTTCTCCTACTTTTTGTGTGTTTGATAATGGTCTACGTGCGGCTTTTTGTGCGTGTTAAGTGTGTTCGATTTGCCCCAGAAAACGCTTAAAATCATTTAACAGAATTGCATATTTATGAATTTGCAGCAAAGCGAAATTATGGTCAGCATAAAACAATATTTAAAACATATTTAATATTGGATATTGAGATGAAATTATGGTTAAGCAATCATTTTGAGGGCGGAAAGAGGTTAAAATCTAAACGGAAAATCATTTTAAGAGTATATTTCTATGGATTAAATATTCATTATGGCTGAAGTATGTAGAAGTTGACCAGGCAAATGGTTATTAAATTTAAATATTTACAGTTTCAGGTTTCTTAAAGATCTATAACCAAATAAATATATTTAATTCTTGATATAGAAAGGATCTTAGTTGATTCTAAATCCTCAAACCACGGAAATTATTAACTAAAATAGTCAAAGAAATCAATTGAAAGCTCTAATGGCCCTTAACCTTTTTAATATCCTGTCTTAAGAGCACTCTGTGAGTGATTTAACTGTTTCCTGTCAGGCAGTACCATCCTCTCTTTCTCTCTGCTGTTTTAAATGACTTTTCATTTAGACTCAAAATAAATTTCGCCACAAATTTCCTATTCGAATTTTCGCTTACCAAAGGCGAATGGCTTAGGTGGGTTTTTTCGGGGCCCATTTATTTGTCATTGGCATGCTAATATTCTAGCATATTCTCTCTATGCATTTTCAGAAATGGAAAGTGCACCACGTAATGTTCAAGTGAGGACGCTGAGCTCGTCCACAATGGTTATAACCTGGGAACCCCCGGAGACGCCCAATGGACAAGTGACCGTAAGTACCAGGCATCAAGTGCGCATATTAAACGATAAGATCCAACCGACTGCGACTGCGGGGCCTGAGTCTGAATCTGCATTTGCCTGCTGGATAGATCCTGTGCCCCGTGTCCTGTAACTGTGAGGTCCTGGGGGCCAAGCGACGCACTTTGTCACGTCGGAGTCGTCTGATGGGACGAATGGAGAGGGCTAGCCAAAGGGAAATTGGCAAAATGCCGTTGGCCATGTTCTGTGTGTGTGGTTTGGAGGCGGAGAAAAGAACGACTAGCCCCAAACCCCCCTTGAATGCAAAATACGAAGCGCAATTCCAAAGCCACAAATCCGAAGTACCTTTTCACCGTACAAACCGAAGCAATTCTCTCTCCATACGAATCGCCACTACCTTGAATGCAAATCCGAATCAGCTTTTCACGCAGACGAGACGACGGCAATTGTGCTGGTCTCTAGCTGACTGCTTGCTTCTGCTGAATGCATACTGCAGACAGTAGCTATTATAAAGTTCACAAATCTATGACCAACTCGGTCATATTTCATTTTCTGGTTTATCAGTTAATGAAAGGTGAATTTCGGATTTGAATTTGAATTCGTGCAAATGAATTTACATTTTACACAGCAAACTCTCTAAATCCAATCCAACCCTCTTTCTCTCACAGGGCTATAAGGTATACTACACAACGAATTCGAACCAGCCGGAAGCCTCTTGGAACTCACAAATGGTCGACAATAGCGAGCTGACAACAGTATCGGAGCTGACACCCCATGCCATCTATACGGTTCGTGTGCAGGCCTATACCTCAATGGGTGCCGGTCCCATGTCCACACCAGTACAGGTGAAGGCCCAGCAAGGTAAGCGAAGAGTAGGGAAGAGTAGAGCCGCCCAAGTTAAGCCAAATTGATTGGGCAATCAGCTTCAATTAGGCACATGACATAGCACATACGTATAACGGAGGAGCATAGACCATTTGAAGATGGGTGGCAAATGCATTTTGAATGGAACGACACACATTTCGCAATTTAATTGCTCCAACTGAATCGGGGGGCACCAACCAGCCAACCCCACATAGATCACACCAATTATTTAATTATAATGCAAAATGTCAAGCACAAACGTGTGTCTGCTCAATGAAATATTTAACTCTCCCGCTTCCACTCTCCTAACACTCTCTGACTGTGCGTACACACACATTTGATTACGATCTACGGGAATATTCATTAACTTGAAGGCAATTGCATTTTCTGTCTTCCGACTCTGTGGGCATAAATCTGCATGTCTGCCTGTAAGTATAGGCTTAATCTGGGGCGTGGTCTTTAGCACTGACTTACTGTCTTTACATGTCCTGTTTCTGTTTCTGTTTCTGTTCCTATCTGTGTGTCTGGCTGTGGCCTGCTTAACATTGGCAATAAGTAAACAACTTGAGAGGCTTTTCGCAACTTTGAACTGTTTTCTTGGCAGGGCAAATGTCTGATGCCATTTGGGTCAGACATCTCTAGAAGGAATCTAAGCAAATAACAAAACCATTTAAATGTACATACACTGTTTTTAAAGCTTTAAATTTATGCCATCAAAGACACTTCCACCATCCCACTCTCCACTGTGGTGAAAAAATAAATTTTGAAAATTTACGATACTTCGTGGAGAGAAGGGGCATCATCTGGGGGACACAGCTCTCAATCAATTTTCAATGCAAAACCAAAACAAAAAGCTGCAGCCAGCGTAGCTACCGAGCATGGGCTGTCTGTCATTCCATCAATCTGTGTGCCTGAAATCAGCATCATCATCAACATCATCAGCATACAAACATCACATTGCCGCATATTGATTTGTTTGTATTTTATTTAATTTCCGTAATTTCCGTTTCATTATTACCAAATACCTGCAAAAACCCAAATGCCCCATGATGTTGCGTGTGTCAACCGTCTGCCTACAAAAGGTGTGCCATCGCAACCGAGCAATTTCCGGGCCACCGATATCGGCGAGACCGCAGTCACACTGCAATGGTCAAAGCCTACGCATTCCAGCGAGAATATTGTACACTACGAGCTCTACTGGAATGACACATATGCCAATCAGGCACATCACAAGTGAGTCTTTATTTCCATATATTTAAATTGTAATCTGAAGCATTCAATCAATTCCCGCCACGCTTTTTAGGCGCATTTCGAACTCTGAATCGTATACGCTGGATGGTCTGTATCCTGACACCCTGTACTACATCTGGCTGGCTGCACGATCACAACGGGGCGAGGGGGCCACCACACCGCCCATACCAGTGCGCACCAAGCAATATGGTAAGTGTAGCCTCAGCCGATCCCTCTGATTTTCCATATTTTATTTCCATAAGTTAGGAAACAAAGAATCAAAAATACCGTCGTAGTCGTACAATTTCTCTCTATAAGTTTAAGTACAAGACATGCCAAACATATTTCCATAAATACTTACTACATACGATATACATATATACATACCTATATGATATATATATACTATATACATAAAACATATGACTTATATACCTATCTACTAGATGCAGTTCAATTACCAAAAATCCCTACAAATCCCCGCCCCTCCAAAATGTCTGTTTGAATGTTTGTGTGAATCTGAATATATATTCTTGAGTATTCTTCTGCTTACGTGGATAAAGGTAAACTCTGTATGAATGAATGTGAATAATAATGATTCGGGTTGAGTGTGAAGTGAGTTACGCACTTGCCCATTTATATATATTTAATGTATAATCGTATATATAAAATCTATAAATATAACCATACATAAATATATATATTGTAGGATTTGTGGTTTTTTTGATTGTTTCTTGCAAGTTAGATTTAAGTTTAGTTGTGTATTAGTTTTCTAGTTCAATTTATACACAAAACATGAAATACTCTACATAGACTATTAAAACCCCCACACAGAATTTATATATATTTAGCACATAACTACATACATACATACTTAAGAAACTATTTACATATAGCAAAACACATTCACAGAGAACAAATTAAGTGAAGGAAAGATTCAAGTACATTCCTAAGTGAGATCCTAGATGGAATTATCAACAGATCGCGGGGTTTTTGGAGATATTTTTTTATAGAGAATACAAAATTGTGGAAAGTAGAGAATTTCTTAAAGATTTTCAAGAAAAATTAAATTTATTTAATCATTTCTTTTTATTGACTATCAAGAATAAATATGTGTCCTTGCGCTTTTACTTCGTCTAAATAAGAAATTCCATAGAGATAATGATACTAAGAAGAACTAATCAGAGATGTACATTGAACTCACATTTTCAGAACTTAAAGAACTCCTACTAAATTTCTATAAATCAAAGAATGTTTTTTAAAGCTGTTAAATTCCAATGTATTTTTTCACATTATTCTAGTTAATAGCAAAGATTAATTAATTGATTATGTTGCTCTATAAAATGTCTTACTTATGACTCTGCGATCCGTTGAACTAATCCAATTAGAAAACCAGAAAACTCATTTAACAAAAGCCAACATCACACCAGTTCACACCACAGCACACCACAGGATAGAGAAGCCACAACAGATTTGCCCATAAACAACAACCACAACGATATACCAAAACACCTTTTCATTTACAAGTCCAAAGCAAATTGCATGGTAATGTAATGTAATGTAAAAATATGAACTAAACTGAACTGAATGGAATGGAATGGAAAACCAAACAATTATGGAATGCATATTTGGATTTGTGTGTGTTATTTAGCATGGCTCGATTATGGTACCCATTTATCATAGCTACCTTTAAGAGTTAAATCATGTAAATTATGCCAACACAATTTTCCATCTTTAGACCACTATTCAAGTGGCAAAATTCCTAATGCACATTGCACACCTCCTGCACACTGCACTCTCTGCACTGTCTCCAGAAGCACTGGATAGTAGACCACAGAAACCAAAACCAGCAAATTCCTCCAATGAAACTCTCTCTTTCTCTCTCTCTCTCTCTGTGTGTCTAGAAAATTGATTTTGAATGATATTTTAATAGAGCGATGGAGCGAAGACAACTGTCTGTCTGTTTGTCTGTCTGCCGCAGGACGAGTATTTTCTTGTGGCAGTGTGGCATCAATATCACTTTTGGTTTTCATATTTGCACGTACTGCATTTTGCGCATAATTGAAACATAAATTGCTTTTAATCCCAAGCGAATGCAAAAACAAATCTTCAAGTAATTTTCAGTACTAGTTTGAGTTTGAGTTTGAGTTTGAGTTTTGGCATGCGCTTGCTCCTAATGACTTTTTATTGTTAGCACTCTCAAGGTTTTTGTTGTGGTTTCAATTAGTTATAATACCTTATCCTTGAAAACTATTGAATGTGCTCTTACTCTTAGATGTAGAAACTTTTCGTTTGATGTCGTCCCTGTCCCCCTTCAACCCACATGGTTTATGCAAATTAATGTTTCTACTTCTCTAAAGTACTGTACATAATGTATGTGAATGTTGTGTGGAGTAGATGTAGACCTTTTTTAAACCAATTTATATGCTCCTCTTTTTGTTATAAGCTAAGCATGCCTATGGATTCCCGCTTCTCTCTCCCTCTCGTCTCTCGTAGTTCGAAATACAATTTTCAGCTCAAAAAAGTCGTTACCAAAAAATATGCACAAAGAGGAACAAAACAAAAAAAGGAGTCAACATTTATTTGCATAAACCATTGGATATATCTATGTCTTGATATTTGATTTTGATTTGATGATATTTCTATCTATATATTCAATGCCTATCTCTAAACCATAATATTATTCAGTTTCATTATATTATTCATTTGCTTTTATGGCCTTTTCGTTTCATGTTACACCCCCGATTCGATTTTTGGTTTTGACATTTTGTCTATTTTGTGTTTCCTACCGCTAATTGCTGAACTAAACGCTCATAACCAAACCAAAAAAATGTGTGTGTTGTTCTTTGGCTATGCAACAACAAAAATCAACAATGAACAATGAACCATCAACATTCAACCAACCAACCAACCAACCAACATCCACCAACATCAATCCAACCAAATGATATCCAAATCAAAATGCACACACAAAATACGTTCCGTTCCTCCCATCTATGTAATTAGTACCAGGTGCACCGCCCCGTAATATCACCGCCCTAGCCAGCAGCTCGACGACGATCGCCCTTAGCTGGCTGCCGCCTCCCGTTGAGCGATCAAATGGTCGGATCATATACTATAAGGTGTTCTTCGTGGAGGTGGGCCGCGAAGATGACGAGGCCACCACATTGACCCTCAATATGACCAGCATCGTACTCGACGAACTGAAACGCTGGACCGAGTACAAGATCTGGGTGCTGGCCGGCACCTCCGTCGGCGATGGCCCACGCTCCCATCCGATCATATTGCGAACACAAGAGGATGGTATGTATGCCCATGACAATCTGACCTATGGCGTAAGTCTTACCTAAATCGATTTAACTTTTACGTTATCCATTTATTCGTTCGTTGTTATGTTCTTAAGATTATTTTACAAGGTTTAGTTTTATCCACTCGACTTTTAAGTTTAGTTTTATTTTTATGTTTCTATCGCCTCCCCTGGTCATACCCCATACATACTTATCATAATTAATATTCAACCTCAAGACTAATCGAATTTTGTACAATTTTTGAATTTTGATATCGAGAGAGCATTCCACCACAGGAGCAGCTAAGCACTATGGAGATCGTTAACCAATATATATAGCAATATATCTATATATATAAACTATATATATATTTTGTGTCTACCAAAATTTAACGTTTTTGTTCTTGTGTTTAAAACCATATAATCCATAATAGCTGTTGATCAATTTTTGAAAGCAGCTACAAAATCTTTTTTTTTTAATTCAAAATAATTTTTTTTTGTAGATTATTTATTTATTTTATTTTTTAATTTGTGATCTTTTAAAGCAGAATATCCATTCAATTCAGACTCAAAGATTCATCTCTTAATGCCTTCTGTTAATACTAGCAGCATTTTGTTTCAAAAGAGAATCCTAGTTAATGATCACAGCATACTTCACAAATCTCCACTTTGTACTTTTCGGATCCATAGGGATCCATGGATGATGAATTTTTGAATGTCTAGAGATCGAATTATTTATTCAACCTTACTCACCAATAATTTCTTTATTCATTTATATTACCTCTCTTACATGTTGTTTTCCCTTACTTTGATTTTGTTGAACAAACCCAAAAAATAAAAAAAACGAAAAACGTATACAAAATTTAATAATCATTGGCACAAAATGAAATTGCATATTTTTTGGCGCAATTTTTGACTACTTTTTTGCACTTACTATCTCTCTCTCACTATATATCTCTCTCTCTATAAAGCAAACACAACTTTTTAGAAGAACTCCTATATATATATTGTGTACTATATATGCAAGCAAAGATCGAACTATTTTTGTAATATTTATTTCTTGACTGGCAATCGTCTCGAGAAATGCAAGAAATTGCAAGAAAAAATCTTTGAATAATACACAACCAAAACCCAAATACAAGCCTTTATAAATAATTATTTTTGACTATAATGGAATGCATCAAACTGTTTGTGGTAATTTGTATAGCACCAAAAAAACCAACGCCATGAACTCGTATGTAATCTACAATTTGTTTTTGTATTCTTGGCATTTTAATTTCAATTTTTGTAAGCACCTCACATACAGCACTCTGAACAAATACACAAATTTGATTTTAGTCTATTTGTATTCAATATTTCATTAATTTATGCAATTATAAAAGTAAACTCGGGCCTAAACAGGCGCGCTGTGCATAATCACATAATTATAACCCTCGAGGGTGCTAAAACTGCGCTTCAATTTTTCATCATTTCATTATACGAGAATTTGCCCTCAACAAATAGTGCAAAATGTTTTCGCTCTATTTATTTATGAATTTTATTTTTGTTGAACACGTACACGTACCATCACCATCTATTCATATTTACATCCTCATGTGTAATATTTCTGCATATGTACATATTTAATAACGTTTACAAAAGCACGATGGCTGGCTGTGTGTGTGTGTCGTCTGTGTGCCATATCATTTTTGAACCCCCTATATATTTGGTTTTTGTCACACCATTTTTGCACTTTTGTCGCCACGTGATGCAACTGCCTTTGCTGGTGCTGCTGATACTGGCTGCTATAGCAAAGACCACCCCAAAGTCCATGGAGCACGTTTTTTAATGGATTTTTGCGCTTCTTTGCTTGATTTTTATTGCATTGCAAAAACACCGATGCACAGCAGACCAAGCGGTGGCGACGTCGACAAATCCTTAAATTGATTTCTGCACAAAATTAACCGATTTTTACCATCGCATATATGTTTAATTTTTTAATGTGTATGTATATATTTTATGTTGACCGATTTTATTAAGTTTTATTTGCCATCACCTGCATGTTTGCACAGTTAACACATTTCAACACTATTTGCATTTGGCTTTATTTTTGCCATTTTATGCACCACCGTTTCGCTCCTCCTACTGCTCTTTCAATTTGGAGGGGTTGTCTGTTTGGAAAGTGCTAGCAAAGCTTTACAGGTCCAGCGAACCTGCTGTCCTGTTTCCTGCTGTGCTTTATAGAAGCATATTTCCATTGTCCACAGTCCTGACTGTTCTTTGATATATTTCAAATATTGAGAAATGTTTACCTTTTATGAGAAAGTTTTTTACAAATGCAAAGATACTATTTTTGATTGATGTTTGAAACCAGAGCTGGACATTGATTAATTCTAGGAATTTCCTGGCGCTGCATTGAATTTTATGTCTTTATTTCAGAGCAGCCTTAATGCTCGAAAAATGTTTTAAAATCTCTTGAAATTATGTACGTGTATTACTTGCCTACGAATAGGCATTTATTTATTAAATCGAACTCACTTTGAAGATAGATTAGATCTCCCTTATAAATACACATGAACTATAGACCTTGGCGGATTTCATACTCTTATCAGTTAAATTTAAATAAAAAACAATTAAAATCTCTGCTGAAAGTGCTCTCATATCCAAACCAATGTAACCAAATAGTACCTGAATAATTTATTTTCGTTCCTTCTTTTGTTGCACTCCATCACTCCATCAACATATACGATTAACTTTTTAAATCTCCATTAGCCCTTGAGCACCACCATACACACTCTCACACACGCAGACAACGTTTTAACACTTACTTTAAACTGCTTGTTTAGCTGCTAACCTGCTTGTTCAACGAACGAAACGAAACAAAACAATTTTATTTAAAAAGTACCTATTCAATTTTTGTGTTTTAAGAACTACTTCAACACCAGCCGGAAGTGGATTCCACTCCATTTTGTTTTGGCTAAGCACCGTAAATTAAATGTACTTATTGTTAAGCACCTTAGTGTACGTCTCTCTCACTCGCTCTCGCTAACTAGCTTTAATCCCATCACTCAATCTCTGCCTCTCTCTCTCTCTCTCTCTTTCGGTCTCTCTAGTTACTATAGTTATAATAAGCTAAGCATTAAGCTCACGTTTATGCACTGATAAGCACCGATAAGCACTGTGTACACACACATTCTCATGCTCATGCACTGGCACATACAATTCGAATGGGAATGTAACGTAAATAGGAGTGCATTTTGCTAAAATAAGCTAGTCAATTGCATAAAGTAGGGAATATTCTGAGTAGATCTAAGCACCAAAACAGCATCGACAAAAATCACTACAAATCACAGGAAATGTACTAATAAGCAAGAAAAAGCACCATAAAGAAACTAAAGCACCAAAGCACTAATAGTAAGAAATTTCAAAGAAAAACACCAACGCACCTCAGCTTCTCGTATCTGCGACTGACTGAACTTTTATTTTAATTGTACTCAATTAAGCACAACCAAAGGCTAGATGCCACATAACTCACTCGCCCCCGAAAAGCCCGTGCGCCCCAATCCCAACCCCAACCCCAAAAACCCCAACTAAATCCAAAAGCAAAAGCAACCAATTCCCCATGCAGGAACTGCCTCCATCATACGTATAGCCAGCGGCTCACAAGCAGCAGCAGCTTGGCATAGCATTAGAGAGGGTCAGTACCATTCATAAGTATGAAAAAGTATTTTATGCTCGAATTTTCTTTTTTATGACCAGTACTGCTGGAGGGTACAAAGGTATGCTATGTTTGCGTTGTTGTAAGTTACAGGGTGAAGAAAGTTTGATTAGGATCAAGAGAAAGGTTATTTCCTAGGATTCCGTTTGACTTTTCAAGACTCAGGATCTATAAATTTAATTCCATCGATTATAAGGAGATTTTTCCACATTTTAAAAGAAGTGTGACTTGGTATCCTTTCAGTCTGTAGAGAAAATCCCTCCTTTACTGCTTGTCCCTTTCTCTACTAATTTTTTTGGCGTGTATGTTCCGTATGTTTGAAGCGTACATATAGTTATGATGTGATGCGCTTGTTAGCTGCCACCCCACAAATGCAAATGCAAATGCATTCCACCTGTCTAAAGCTGGGCACTTGCTTTTCATACTCCCATCTCCAGGTCTTTTAACCCCCACTTCCTCTAGTATATCTCTCACTCTGTTTCTGTCTCTGGCTCTGGCACTGAATCTGACTCTATGCGAAATTCGTATAGCAAGCAGATTCTCCTTTGTGCTCCCAGACAGAGTCCCTCATAGACACACACACACATGTCCTCTCATGTAACTTACACCAAAAAAGTTGAAAAAGAAAAATACAAAACAAGATAAGAAGGAAAAGCTTTTTGTGGGTAACCGAAGATTTGTATACACTCACGGAAACCCAACGCTAGTTCGTGTAAAAACAATTCTCGTAGTATGGAACTGAAACTTCTGAAGTTTTGCTAAATAACTTTCTTGTGGCATCTACAGGGTAAAGAGATCCGATATCCGGAGTTCGATATCGTTTTATCTTTTACCCATATATATCCAAAAACATCATATCAGTGGGAGCGCCTTGTAGAGTGTATACAAATGAGCACAGCACCACCTGGAGCATTGGAAGCTTAGCACGCGCTCTCCTTGCTTCGTTTGTTCCATTCAGCACTAAAATAAAATATAAAAAACATACAAAAAAAAAGAGAAATACAAAATAGAGAGAGAACACTTCTAACGGTAACATTTTAATTATTTTACATTTTTGTTGTGTGTTTGTGTGTGTATGCGGGAATGCGCTCCATGTGTCTGCATCTGTATTCCTCTCTGCATCTGTATGGGGGATGCTGCCTAGGTGTGAATGGAGACTAAAAGTACAGTGAAGCACTCTGTGCAGTGTGAAACGTCATCTGTCCTCTGTCCTCTGTGCTCTGTCCTCCTCTTCCCAAAGCCCAACTGTCTCGTAGCAGATGAGCAGCCAGAACACTAATGAAGCATAATTTAACATTCGCGTGGCCGTCAGTTGCAGTTTGAATAATTTGTATTATGCATTTATTTAACATTTTTAATGAACCCTGACGACTGACACGAGATTTCGTTGCAGATGTATAAAATATAGAGTTTAATTGAATTTAAAGTTGTCAACTAAATATAAAAAATATATACAAATATTTTTAGAAGAATTTGAAAACAATATAAGGTCATAAGAGATTTTTGAAACATTTTGTAATGGGGTGAAACTCCTTTAAATATTATCTTGTGTGTAGAAAGGTCACTAAATTAGCATACATAACAGGTATTTTTCAAGTTATATTTAAGAGCATAATTAAATAAGCAATCTTTAATGAACTATGGTAAGTTATCTCATTAAACATAAGCTCTAAGTTACTCTTTAAGCAATTGCCTTTAATCATTTCAATTTTATAATATTTGGAAGTACCACACAATTTTCCTCAAAAGAACAATATTCAATATTCAAAATTCTGTACAGTATCAAAGCCAACGGGTGTGCCAACAAATATGTAGAGATTTTGTATCATGTTTTTCCCTATGTGTTTTGTCCTCCATTCCCGTCTTCAGTTGTTCAACTTTCCGTTTTCGTATTTGTGGATTCTTCTGTAATTTTTGCACCAGTAAAAACCTTTTTGAAACTGTATACTGTAAACTAAAAAGCAAATATTTTATATCTTTTTTCATATACAAAAAAAATTATCACAAAAAATAACAATAACTTTGCTTGGCCACTCGCACCTTGCACTCCACTTGCCTCTGTTTCGTGCACCTTTTTTTGAATGCAAATCAAAATGGAAAAACCAAAAAAAAAAACAAAAAACATCAAACACATCTATAAATCTTTTTGAAACTTTTTTGATGTGAATACGAAATTATTGCGATAATTTGATTTTTGAACGCAACCTTTAAATGGATGGTGGTTTATAATAATTAAATAAATACAAAACAATTTTTAAAAACTATTTAGAGAAAAAGAGTGAGTATTTTTAATGGTTGACTATGTATAATGTTTAAGAATGCCCAAAAACCCATAGCAACTGATATACCATATGCATATCTATATACTATCTCTATCTAACTCATATATGTATCAACATACATTTATATATTTTTGAAATTGGTCCAGAAATGTTGACCTGACAACTAAAGGAATCCCACAAATCTCTTTTGTTTTTTGATGTGTTTCTCTATTTCCAAACAAATTTTTTAAAAAGACATGAAAATCGAAGCCGAAAAAAGATACCCGGCAATGGATATAATACATATAGCGAACATACCACATATATATTCTGATATATATCGAGTGTTTTCCGTTTGATTTTCCTAATATATGTTTGTTTTTTGCACACACAATACGAAGTATAAAGAAACCTTTTGAATGCTTACATGTTTGTTTTTGCCCAGTGAATAATTCGAGAGGGGGGAAATCTACAAGCGGATTTCCACCCAATCATTTTTGTGTACATTTTTTTGCAAATACCAATAAGTAATGGTCTATATCTATGAACTATGAAATATGCTATTGCAAGAGGTATAAACTGCACTTTTTATTCATATTTTTTGAGCACCATCCGTACCCGTACCCGTACCTGTACCCGTACCCGTACCCACCCAAATCTATAGCACTTAAGCAGCACTTTTGTTTGTTTCCAAGTTTTCCTCTATTATGCTTTCCTCCTACCCAACTTTCTCTGTTTTACTCTCTCTCTCTCTGTCTGTGATGTGGTGATGAGACAAGTTGATGTTCGAGCCAAGTTCGTTCTGGCAGATACTAATTACTATATTTGTATTGCTCCTAGGATCTAAATACTTAGTGTTAGTTCTGCATAGTTCTATCTCTTTATAAATCATTATACCACCTACATACTATACATATACGATAGATCTAAGTAAGCTAATTGTAAGACATTTTGCCATTATCTTGGGAATAAGTTAAGATACCTTTACTTGATTGCCTTGAATACACATCCTTGACCACGAACTTGTGTTTCCCTCGAGCTAATCTTTTGTTTCTTCGCCGTCGTATCTAGTGCCTGGAGATCCTCAAGATGTAAAGGCCACACCCTTGAACTCCACATCGGTGCATGTGAGCTGGAAGCCGCCACTCGAAAAGGATCGCAATGGCATCATCCGCGGCTATCACATACATGCACAGGAACTAAGAGATGAGGTAAGAAGGTGCAGGCATCAATCCCCTATGCAGAAATTAACAGTTTTTTCTGTAGGGCAAAGGCTTCCTCAATGAACCCTTCAAGTTTGATGTCGTTGATACGCTGGAGTTCAATGTCACTGGCCTTCAGCCGGACACCAAGTACTCCATCCAAGTGGCTGCACTCACGCGCAAAGGCGATGGCGATCGCAGTGCGGCAATTGTGGTAAAGACACCAGGCGGAGTGCCCGTGCGTCCCACAGTGAGTCTGAAGATCATGGAACGGGATCCCATTGTGTCCATTGAGCTGGAGTGGGAGCGACCGGCGCAAACGTACGGAGAGCTGCGTGGCTATCGACTGCGCTGGGGCGTCAAGGATCAGGCGCTGAAGGAGGAGATGCTTTCGGGGCCGCAGATGACAAAGAAGCGCTTCAACGATCTGGAACGGGGTGTGGAGTACGAGTTCCGGGTGGCGGGCAGCAATCACATTGGCATTGGCCAGGAGACGGTGAAGATATTCCAGACGCCCGAAGGCACACCAGGCGGACCGCCCTCGAACATCACGATACGCTTTCAGACGCCCGATGTGGTGTGCGTTACGTGGGATCCGCCCACGCGTGAGCATCGCAATGGCCTGATCACCCGCTACGATGTGCAGTTCCACAAGAAGATCGACCATGGCCTGGGCTCCGAGCGGAACATGACGCTCCGCAAGGCGGTGTACACCAACCTGGAGGAGAACACGGAGTACATCTTCCGTGTGCGGGCGTATACCAAGCAGGGAGCGGGTCCCTTCAGCGACAAACTGATTGTGGAGACGGAACGAGACATGGGCAGAGCGCCCATGTCCGTGCAGGCGGAGGCTACGTCGGAACAAACTGCGGAGATCTGGTGGGAGCCAGTGCCGAGTCGCGGCAAGCTTCTGGGCTACAAGATCTTCTACACGATGACTGCTGTTGAGGATCTGGATGATTGGCAAACGAAAACGGTGGGCTTGACAGAGTCCGCGGATCTGGTGAATCTCGAAAAGTTCGCCCAGTATGCGGTGGCCATTGCGGCGAGATTCAAGAACGGGCTGGGACGCCTCAGCGAGAAGGTGACGGTGCGCATCAAGCCCGAGGATGTGCCACTGAATCTGCGCGCCCACGATGTCAGCACCCATTCGATGACGCTCAGCTGGTCGCCGCCCATACGCCTCACGCCCGTCAACTACAAGATCAGCTTCGATGCCATGAAGGTGTTTGTGGACTCGCAGGGTTTTTCCCAGACGCAAGTCGTCCAGAAGCGTGAGATCATCCTCAAGCACTACGTGAAGACGCACACCATCAACGAGCTGAGTCCGTTTACCACCTACAACGTGAACGTGAGCGCCATTCCGTCGGACTACTCGTATCGGCCGCCCACCAAGATCACCGTCACCACACAGATGGCCGCTCCGCAACCCATGGTCAAGCCGGACTTTTACGGCGTGGTCAATGGCGAGGAGATACTCGTGATACTCCCGCAAGCCTCGGAAGAGTACGGCCCCATCTCGCACTACTATCTTGTGGTGGTGCCGGAGGACAAGTCCAATCTGCACAAGATACCCGATCAGTTCCTCACCGACGATCTGCTGCCGGGTCGCAACAAGCCGGAGCGTCCCAATGCCCCGTATATTGCGGCGAAGTTCCCGCAGCGATCGATACCCTTCACGTTCCATCTGGGATCGGGGGATGACTACCACAACTTTACGAATCGCAAGCTGGAGCGGGAGAAGCGCTATCGGATTTTTGTACGGGCCGTGGTGGACACGCCGCAGAAGCATCTGTACACGTCCAGTCCCTTCTCTGAGTTCCTGTCCCTGGACATGCGTGAGGCGCCGCCCGGCGAGCGACCCCATCGTCCCGATCCGAATTGGCCCTCGGAGCCGGAGGTGTCGGTGAATCGCAACAAGGATGAGCCCGAAATCCTGTGGGTGGTGCTCCCTCTGATGGTCTCCACCTTCCTGGTTTCCACTGCCCTGATTGTCCTCTGCGTGGTGAAGCGACGCCGCCAACCGTGCAAGACACCCGATCAGGCGGCCGTGACACGTCCTCTGATGGCCGCCGACCTGGGCGCCGGACCCACGCCCAGCGATCCCGTGGACATGCGCCGATTGAACTTCCAGACGCCCGGCATGATCTCGCATCCGCCCATTCCGATCTCGGAGTTTGCCAACCACATTGAGCGCCTCAAGTCCAACGACAATCAGAAGTTCTCGCAGGAGTACGAGAGCATCGAGCCCGGCCAGCAGTTCACGTGGGACAACTCGAATCTGGAGCACAACAAGTCGAAGAATCGGTATGCCAATGTCACCGCCTACGACCACTCCCGCGTGCAACTGCCGCCCACGGAGGGCACACCCGGCTCGGACTACATTAATGCCAACTACTGCGACGGCTATCGGAAGCACAACGCGTACGTGGCCACCCAGGGACCGCTGCAGGAGACTTTCATTGACTTTTGGCGCATGTGCTGGGAGCTGAAGACGGCGACCATTGTGATGATGACTCGACTGGAGGAGCGCACTCGTATCAAGTGCGACCAGTACTGGCCGACGCGCGGCACCGAGACCTACGGACAGATCTTTGTGACCATCACGGAGACGCAGGAGCTGGCCACCTACAGCATCCGAACGTTCCAGCTGTGCCGCCAGGGATTCAATGATCGACGGGAGATCAAGCAGCTACAGTTCACGGCCTGGCCCGATCACGGGGTACCCGATCATCCGGCTCCCTTCCTGCAGTTCCTGCGACGCTGTCGCGCCTTGACGCCACCGGAATCCGGGCCCGTGATCGTCCACTGTTCGGCTGGAGTGGGACGCACTGGCTGCTACATTGTAATCGACTCGATGCTGGAGCGTATGAAGCACGAGAAGATCATCGATATCTATGGGCATGTGACATGTCTGCGGGCCCAACGAAACTACATGGTACAGACGGAGGACCAGTACATCTTCATTCACGATGCCATTATTGAAGCCATCATCTGTGGCCTGACGGAGGTGCCAGCCCGCAATCTGCACACCCATCTGCAGAAGCTGCTGATCACGGAGCCGGGCGAGAGCATCTCTGGTATGGAGGTGGAGTTCAAGAAGCTATCCAATGTCAAGATGGATTCATCCAAATTCGTTACCGCCAACTTGCCCAGCAACAAGCACAAGAATCGTTTGGTCCACATCCTGCCGTACGAATCGAGTCGCGTCTACTTGACTCCCATCCATGGCATCGAGGGCAGTGACTATGTGAATGCCAGCTTCATCGATGGCTATCGCTATCGTTCCGCGTATATTGCGGCCCAGGGACCAGTCCAGGACACGGCCGAAGACTTCTGGCGCATGCTCTGGGAGCACAACTCGACGATTGTTGTTATGCTGACGAAGCTCAAGGAAATGGGAAGGGTAAGCGTAAGAAATTCCCTGTCTTACCTTTTTCTAATTCTCTTCTTTTCTGCAGGAGAAATGCTTCCAATATTGGCCACACGAGCGTTCAGTGAGATATCAGTATTATGTTGTTGATCCCATTGCCGAGTACAATATGCCGCAGTACAAGCTGCGTGAATTCAAGGTGAGTAAAAGCACCAAGAGAAATCCGAGATCATGCCTAAACGTGTATCCTTTTCAGGTTACGGATGCTCGGGATGGTTCCTCGCGCACTGTGCGACAGTTCCAGTTCATCGATTGGCCAGAGCAGGGTGTGCCCAAGTCGGGGGATGGCTTCATCGATTTCATTGGCCAGGTGCACAAGACCAAGGAGCAGTTTGGCCAGGATGGACCCATAACCGTGCACTGTTCGGCGGGTGTGGGTCGCACGGGTGTCTTCATAACGCTCAGCATTGTGCTGGAGCGTATGCAGTACGAGGGTGTGCTGGATGTCTTCCAGACAGTGCGCATTCTACGCTCCCAGCGACCGGCTATGGTGCAAACAGAGGTAAGCAAAAAGGATTACGGAAAACCTTCGACCTCATGCTAATATTTGATGTTTTTCTAGGATCAATATCATTTCTGCTATCGCGCTGCTTTGGAATATTTGGGATCATTCGACAACTATGCAAATGGATAAGATTGGCGGGGGCAGATCGAGTTGGGATAGGTGGTATAGGAGCAGGATGAGGTGGAGGAGCAAATACCTTGTCAACCTTATGTTCGTCGTTCGTTGCATATTTATTTCGAACTCTACGCATAATACGCATTTACGACATAACTCTAAAGTATTATAGCCAGCTACTGCCCCCACACACATACTTACACTTGTATGCTTAAACTTGCATTCTCTGCATTCTCTAATATCTGTACGTGGATATGTTAAGAGCACCATCCAATCCCAGCACGCCCCCCAAATCCATGCCATCCATGCCAGGATATGTTTGCAATTACGATTCGTTTATATCGTGGTATCCTCGGTATCCGTGTCGGTCTTTAGATGAGTTTGATTTCATTGGAAAATGTGAACTAAAAAAGACTGTTACACGTTTAATTATCAGTAATTTATATATCAACACGTATCTATACACCCCACAACAAACACACACATATTGTGCATCAAGTTTTTGCTCGAACTAATCAAAGTAGTCAATCAACTTGTTGTCTGTGGCTCCGTCGTTTGTAGAGTGTGGAGTGGAGTTAGTTGATTGAGGCGGACGGGCCACATGGAAATCGATACATATTTGAACAAAGGACTTGGTAGCTATTAATCTTACCGCCTAAAACGAATCGAATTGAATCTCGAAAGCAAAAATAAGAGTCGAAAAAGTAGTCAAAGTCATTTTGAACGTAGACGCGCTTGGAACACCAAACCCGAATAGACATGTATTTTGTGTATGTGTGTGTACTGTACAACAATCAATCAAATGCGAGTAGGAGACGAGTACTTCCTACTTATATGTATGTATGTATATGTTAATCTGTTTTTATACCTAGGTTCTGTAGATTCTGTATGCGTGTTGCAGATGAGACTCTAAACCAATACAAACCCGTGCAATTAGTCAAAGTCTTGCATAGTGCATATTTTATAAGACAGCTAGTGTTTTGTTAAACTTAAGTTTGAGATCTCCCCCGAAGGCAGAAGATCGATGACGGATCGCTATTTTATAGTTTTATAAACGGTCGCTAGAACAGAAATATTATAACTTCCAGCTGAGCAGCTAATCGGAACTTCAACCTCATTCCCACAAACTTCAACTTATACTTAGTTACAACCCCCCCACCCCAAATACATTCCTGTATATACCACACAGTCGATACGCCCCCAAGCTAGCCATCTATGTGTAATCTAGATCCTAAAGCTAAACAATTATGGTACCTAAAGTGTATGATGAAACGGCATAGATGATAATAATTATAATACGACTAATATAATACCACAGCCCAGGCAAATGGAACATAAATGTAGATATGTATTGTAGCATATATACTTTTTACGAAAACATAACGTAGAAGAAGAAGGAGAACGATGATGATGATGATTATGATTATGATGAAGATATTTAATTGGCACTACCACATAAGAAGGTACTACATGATAATGTATATAACTGATAAGCTGTTTTGAAGATCGTTTGAATTCGGCCTCGTATTTATACACAAACATACATATAGTAAATACGTACATACATACAAACATTATATGAAAAGACGTTAGCAAGCAAATGCATAAAAGCAACACTAAATTATTAGCTGAAACCCCCACATGTTAAACAACAATAGTCATATATGTACACTAAAATATTTATATGAGATACAGATATATGTTTAAACAAAAACACGTTGGCACGTTGCCCCCCACACGCCAGAAGAGGAAAAAGCAGAAGGATCGTAGTATATTTCGTCGGGGCATTGGCACCTGACGACGATATCATATGATATGTAATGAAAGATAAATTAAACAAATATAGCAATAGCAGCAGCAATAGATGTCTAGAGGAAGGTTATCCCTGCAGCAAGTTGCAATCGTATTAATACACACACTATATAAATACATTGTTTGATTTGTTTTACCAAAATAGACGGATATAAACAATTTTTAAGATAACATAAAACATAAACATGCATACATCATAATGATTATATTGTACTAATCGAGCAAAGAGTAAGGAAACCATATTACGTTTAAAACTATCATATAAAAAATATATAATTTTCAAACGAAAAAAATGATAAGCCTCGTGGCAAGGAATAATACAAGATGAAATAAAAAATGAAAAAAAAAAACACCTCTCTGACTTTGTTTCTTTGGGAAAGGGGAGAAATATTATTAATCATTAATAAGCAGCAGTTTCTTCCCATCACGAGGACATGTCAAACGTCCTAAACGGACGAGAAATAATTTGAATTTCGCGCCTAGTGCTGATGCATGACTAAAGGTCGTCAGCATTTTTTATCGGCCAACTCTTGTCAGAATGAAACAAAGAAACCAGCTACTTTTTGCTGATCTCTGTTGGCCTCTGTTGGTATTCGATCTGAAAATTGTCTAGTTCAAGCTGTTCAATTCAACCACTTTTAATCGGGTTAAATCAGGTTCCACGGGTAAACTTGGTTTGGTAGAAACATCCGCTGTTTCTGGGACAATATAGATAATACCTTGAAATCGCTAATTCTTTCGATATTTTTAAGGAATCGGGGGGAAACTGTAGTCGATGGACAACCTGGACCCTAACGCATGTCCTGCGCCGATCAGAGCCCTTTTGCTATTCCATGATGGTTTCCTCGATTGTTGTGAATTAGTTTCGCGTCAAGGACACCAAGTATGAAATATTTTACTTTTAAATACCTCCCCGTTGCAAACCTGATCCAGTCGTAATATTCCTCTTAATGAGCGTAACAGTCTGCTGAAGCATTTGCGCCAATCAAGGACCTCTAGGACGCATGGATAATAAACAAACCAGCCTGAAAGAATGCCATACTTATTAATAAAAACAGCCCCTCCCCCCAAAGTATGCTGTGTTTAATTCCAGTTAGTAATTTAACTCCCCCAATCTTTTACAAGGGTCTACAAAGATAGTAGATAAATACAAGACGAAGGCCAATAAAATATTTTGTTAGGCACTTTTAAGAGTGGATTAGTGGAAAAATGAATTATATCGGGCTCTGTGACACTTCCTAGTGACCTATTAAATGTCTTATAAGGAAGAGTCCTTTGGCGACAGTCGAATTTGATGAGTTGGTTTGCAATTCGTCGAAGCAAAGATTTCCCTAGAGCTAATCTAGCTGCCTTTTCAATGAGGGACGCTGTGGTGCTGCTGTGTAAGTGCTTTCTTCCTTATCGTCGGGTACTAACCAGAAAACAATAGCCCCTATACGACGAGGGCTGTCTCGTCGGAGGACGCTACAAATATAAAGACCTGTTTAAATATGATGTATGGGATTAATACGATTATTTTCCCATAGCGGCATTTGTTGTAGATGTGTACGAATAAATGAATTGAAATATTGAGATCAAACCACCGATTCCGCCAAAGACTTGCTAGCGATAATGAGAAACCCATAAAAATCGCTAAGCATGCCCAACATATTTGCAGTCGAATCGAAACTTTGGACGAAGATGCCTTACTTTATCACTGTGTCTGTGGCTCTGGCTGTGCTGGTGAATTTTTCTGTGAGACAAAATAAAAGGAAACATTAAAACATTTTTATTCACAGACCATTGGTAGTGCAGCTGCTCCTCAATCACAAAATGCGATCATCGCCCAATTCTTCAGGTATGCCGAGGCGATTCGCGAGGTTCAATTGGACAACATGCTGGACATAACGCTAGAATTTGTGGATCAAGTTGTATTGAGCGTGCCGCCCAACAACCGCGGACCTGGAACTGCAACTCTTCAGTCGTATCTGGAGCGTGGCACGGTCGTCCGTGAGACGGGCTCTCTAGAGCAGAAGTTCGAGCACGTCTATGGCCTACAAGCTGTGTTCGAGGGACTCAAGGGCCAACTTGATTCAGAATCGCCCGAGTCTCAAGTAATTGCAATAAACCTTCTGGGCCTGCTTGGCGTTGCCAGTGATTTTGCCATTGAGGATGGAAAGTTCTACAATAACTTTGTCGAAGGTGCCACTTTAATGAAGGCCAAGCTGAGCCCATCCACTGTTGAGCGCGAACAGGATCTGTTTAGTAGCATCGCAGAGTACACAGACTCCGACTTTACGCAGCATGAGCCCTTGCTGCAAAGTGTCCTTAGTTTTAAGAATAGATACTAGACTTTGACGGCTTGGAACCTAAATAATAAATAAAATACATGTTAATAATAATTCAATAAAGAAAAAACATAAACTCAAATGACCTTCTAGTGTTATCAGTAAACAAGCTCAAGACTTTCAAATGGGTACAAATATTCAAAAGCTGAATTATTCTGATTTATATGTACACACACGAGTAAATTCATCAATCCTCAGATAAGAGGCATTTTCGGGCTACAGTAGATGATGCCAAATTAGACCAAACAAACTGTAACAATGTACAGAAAGATGAGATAAGTTCAAACGGATAACGATAAGTTCTAGGATCAATGTAGAGTGACGATCAACAAAGCTATGAAGTAGGAAGACACTTAAGCGTAAATACAAACTATTTGTGTACCATCAACAATTCGTTAACAATTTAATATGAATTTATTTTTTATTGGTGTTCTTTGAGTATGTACAATTCATGGTAACGATGTGTTTTTAGTTCAAAAGCAAACTGTGTAAAAGCAAAATACTAACAAAACAACAATTCTAGACTACGGCCGCAGCCAAGGATACAGCCACAGACGAGGGTGCAGCCTCCGCCAAGGGAGCAGCCGCCGCCAAGGGAGCAGCCGCCGCCAAGGGAGCAGCCAAAGGGAAAGCCAGAGCCGCCGCCGCACCTTCTAGCGTGGCTTTACTCTCGATTTTTTCCCGCTCTTTCAATATCTCGAGCGGATCTTCACTGCGCAAGTAACCATTGTAGCTGGGCTGGTGCTCGAAAACGACTTCCCCTTTTATGACACGCACCCGCGGCCCATGGGCACGGGCCGTAAACTTCACCTTGCCACAAGTATCCGGACGCAGACGACGATGGGCCCGCAGACCGCTCACCACGACAAAGTACTTGTCACAGCCGTAGCACTTGTAACGCTTCATTCCAATATGGCGTGATAGGTGAGAGATGAGTGTCTCTCGATGAGTAAATTCCAGGCAGCAGATCTGTGTGTAAGTAAATAAGTAAATAAGTAAATAACGAGAAGGGACGTGTGAGACGCTTCTTACGCGTCACAACTTTTATACCCGGCACTCAGTACTACATCTGCACCTTATCGGTTGTTTGTCAAGTTTTAAACTTTTTCTTCATCTGTCATCTACATCAACAACACTACTCACGCCAACACGCTCCTTTAGCTCGCCACCCTCCCCTAGAGCCACACTCTGCAGAGTCATGGCAGAGGCAAAGGCAGAGACACGGCAGAGGCAGAGGCCGCATAATGCAGAAGCAGAGTGTGAATGAAAAATGTGAAAAAAACAACAAAAGCGGGACAGGGTGGGTTTAGCCACTGCAAATTAATTTCTTCATTCTGGCTATCATAATGATCCAATCAGATCCCAATTTGGTGATCTAATAGATATGGTCATTCCCTACGGAATGACCAATAAATAAGTTTTTTTTATCTTTAAAATTGTAGATTTGGGAGGTTTTCGCCCTTTTGCGGGGGCGGGGCTCATTTTTTAAAATACACTTGTAACAGTGTGAGCATACAGAAGTCGGGATGCAAAATTAAGTGGCTCTAGCTTTTATGTTCTCTGAGATCCAGGCGCTCAACAAGACGGACGTACAGACGGACAGACGTACGGACAGACGGACATGGCTTAATCGACTCGGCTATTGATGCTGATCAAGAATATATATAGTTTATGGGGTCGGAAACGTTTCCTTCTGTGCATTACATACAACCGTTATTCCCCACAAATACAATATACCCTATTTACTCTTCGAGTACCGGGTATAAAAAGTCCAAAAATTTTACCTTGCATTGAAAAGGTTTCTCGCCGGTGTGACGGCGCTCGTGCACACGCACTTGGCCAGGGGTCCGGAATCGTTTGTCGCAATAGTGGCACTGGTACGGCATCTCACCCGTGTGGATGGACAAGTGAATGCGCATGCCGCCATGGGTTGTGAATATCTTGAGGCACGTGGGGCACTGGTACTGCGACCGATTTGTTTTATCTATTTTCGCATTATTCAATTTATCAGACGGCTTGAATATATATGATTTCTTTGGTTCGGACTCTGATAAGCCTATTTCGATGACTGGATCCGCGGCTGTAACCAATGTTATCTCCTTTTTTGGAGTTGCAGGCTTTGATGGCTTCTCCACGACTAAATCATCCAGTGGAGCAGGCTCGGACTCGCTCGAGTTCGAATCTGGTTTATTTTTTGTTGGCTCCACCGTTTCTGTCCACGTGGATTCTATGTAAATAAATTAAATAAATGGTTCACATGTGGTTTGTATTTAGAAGGGTGTGGGTTTACTCACTTATTTGGGGCTTTAATTTCACCTTTAGCTGTGGCAGATTGGCGCTCGTCTGCTTGTGCTCCTGTATCAGATGCGCGCGGAATGAGTAGCCCTGCACATAGGTGCGTCCACAGATGGGACAAGTCCAAAAGAAATTGTAGTCCGGGTGTTTCTTGCGCAGCTCCCCCATCACCGTATGCGCCATGGGATTTAGAAACACTTCCATCTCCACGGGCTCCCCCGGAAGAGGAACTGTCGGCGGGGGTGGAGGAACTGGCACAGGGACTGAATTCGTCAACAAATCAGCTCTTGAAAATAAGACTGTGCCCGGCAATGGCAGCGTCTTCTCTATGGAGCGTATTTGATTTTGTATTTCCGTAATCAACTCCTGACACTCTGGTCTATTCTTCAGACTGTAGCCGCGCTCCCGATGAGGATTAATGGGTTTATAATCCACTGCACCTGCCGTCGGAGCGGGAAAAATGGTTTCTTCTCGCGTAATCTTGCTAATTGTAAGCGACTTTGGCAATTGTGGAGATCCGTTCTGCGGAAACGGGGACGAGGGCACTCCACTTGCCTTTTCAGCGGCAAGTGCATTCGGCTGATTCGTTAGCTTGACAATTTTTGTATTTGGCGGCAGCTTGATGACCATGCAGTTGTTGGGCAATACTTTCAGTATATTCGAAGATATCGGGGGCTTGGTACTTTCATGCACGTTTGTCTTTAAATTTGCCAACTGCTTTAAGCTCAAGAAATTCGTAATGTTGACCTTTTGGCCGTTTGGTAAAACTTTGAAAATAGACCGCTGCACGCCAGTAGTGGCATTTGATGCTAGCGGTGGGACATTCATTTTGACAACTGCAAGAAAACAATGTTCGTATTGTACATGCATCCTTGATGAATAATAATTTGTGGATTCTTACATTTGAGGGGTGGCCGATGGGAATTTGTTATCGCTGGCTTGGGCTTCAAGGCAGGCAATCGCAGCTTGCCCCTCAGCTCAACGGGTAGGCTGTCCCAGATCGATCCTTTCGAAGAGTCAGGCATCTCCTCTGTAGGAATAATGTCGGTAGCGTCGACCGTCTCCGTGGCCACGTCCAAGGGCTCGTCTTTGATGTGAACATCAAGACCAGCCTCTTTCAGTGCAGCAGGATCCATTCCATCTACGTCTAGCGGTTCATCCTCAATCTTCACACTGCTCAGCGCCTCATCCTTGAACTTTACAACGCTCAGTGGTTCATCCTTAATCTTCACAATGCTCAGCGAATTAACTTCTTCATGCTGATTCTGCACAAAGGTCAGCGGATTGGCTGCCACTTGCTCTGGTGTCGCAGAAATTACCGGAATATACTCCAACTGTCCGCAGACATAGGTCGTGTTCTTTCGGTGGAGTAGCAGGCCCACCTGAGAGTAGAAACTACGACGGCATATGGCGCACACGTAACGAGTCAAATAGGAGTGGCTTTTCATATGGCTGGCCAGGTGGTCGGCGCCATCAACCCTTAAATCACAGATCTGAAATAATTGCTATTAGTTACTGCGATATTTAATATGAATTTAAAGCTTACTCTGCAACAGAGAGTGAGTATGCCGTCGTAATGCTCTCGATATTCGTGTTCCAGCACCAATTCCAACGTGCCGCTCCAGGTACCGCATCCATGGCGACAGAAGTGACGGTTCATCTGATGGTTAAACAAGTGCGCCTTAACCTCCAGTTGAGTGGGTAGCTTCATATTGCAAATATGACACTCGTATGCGCAGCCATTTTGGTTCTCCAACGAATCTTCGAATAACTGTAATTCGAGGCACGGTATTTGTTCATGCAGGTACATATATAAGGGTGTGTATGTGTATGGTTAGGCCCTGCCGCTGCTGCTGCTTACCTGTTGAGCATCGATCGTACCAAGGCTGGCTATAAACTGGCGCTCGTCCTCCGATCTTTGCTCGCTGAGTGGTACCGTTATCATATCAGCATGCTCCTCAAGTATTTTCACTGCTTCACTCGCTGAAAAGGCACCATTACTAAACATTTAATAAATATTCCTCCAAAAGTTAACGGTACGATGCGTAATAACAGACCCACACTTGCTCAAAGCGCGCACACTCACACGCGCAGATTCGAGATCAACAGGCACCAATACCAGCGCACACGCCCTCACAAAGCAATTAATTGCAAACCTTCTGCTTACCACAGGAAACATCCATTGGCTCGTCCGGTGCATTCTCTTCCACCTCCAACTTTATCGTGGTGTCATCAATGTCGATCTCCTCCTTAATTAAGCTTAGATCCACGTGCATTTCCCGTTTTTGTTAAGGATCGCAGCAACACGCCAAAAAAATATACCGCTGCGATCATCAGTGTGACCGCGGAATTATCGATAAAATATACCACACGTACCCTTCCATTTTCAAAATATACCGTAATCATAAATCATTTTCCTCGATTTTGATGTTCTATTTCATATTTCTAGCTATTTCGGACTCTCAGCGTAAAAATACTAACTTTATCCGATGTATCAATCAATACTCAACATAAGTGGATAGTTTTCACGAGTTTTTTTACTTAAATAATTCCAAATTAAGTTTAAAACTAAAATGGTCAACAAAAGGTGTTGATGACCAATCCGATAGTATAGTATATGGACATTTGGGTCCCCTAAATCCTTTAATTATTCATTAAATTCCGTTTTCCGCTGCTGATTTTATACATTAATAATGATCTTTTCTTAGACTGACATGTTTTTAACATTTTAATTTGCTTTCTATCTATCTTGATGCATTCTGCATAATTTCTTTGACATGGATCTCCAACACAGAACTACTTGTTTTTACATTGATTGGAGGCTGAGATTTCAGACATATCCTCAATTCGTGGATATCCATCTCACCACGGGTACACGGCAAAAACGAGAAGGAACGTGTGAGACCCTTGATACGCGTCATAACATTTATACCGTTACGCACATTGCTCCGACCGCAAACACAATATACCGTATATACTCTTCGAGTACCAGGTACAAAAACATACCGCTGCGATCATTCCGTTCTATCGAGAAAGCGTCTATCGCAATATTGCCATTCACACAGACATCTGACACACGCGATGAACCAATCGATAGTTATTGCACATCGCTAGCTAGCTTAGGTAAATAGGAAAACAAATTGAATTTTGTATACAACAAAATAGAAAATGAGCAACAGCGAGGACTCCCAGCAATATATAACGGATATGATGGTCAAGGAAGAGGACGAGGCGTCGGGTGGTAGGCGGTAGTATATTTTTCCAGGCTTTTGTCTTTTAATTAAAGTGTTTCTTGCCGCAGACGAATCGGACAAACAGGATAATGGAATTATGCTTCGGGAACAGGACCGCTTCCTGCCCATTTGCAATATCATCAAAATCATGAAGGTTCCCGTGCCGCAGAACGGCAAAATTGCAAAAGACGCCCGTGAGTGCATACAGGAGTGCGTGTCTGAATTTATTTCCTTCATCAGCAGCGAGGCCATCGAACGGAGCGTCGCCGAGAATCGCAAGACGGTCAACGGCGATGATTTGATAGCCGCTTTTGATAGCCTGGGCTTTGACAACTATGTGGAACCGCTGCAAATATACTTGAACAAGTATCGCGAGGTTAGCTGTGGCTTCATTCTATATGTTTTTCCCACTAGTTCATTGTTATTTTTGCGTGTTTTTTTGTTGCAGTCAAACAAAGCGGATCGAAATCTGTATATGGACACCAATTTTGCGCAGAACGAGGATGGGGCCACAACAAACGATGGTGGCAAGCCGTAGCTTATGTAGTTTTTTCATACCATTACCTTTTAGTTGTTGGGTCTCACGGGTTGGGTGGATACATACATATACAAATTCTATACTTGCACGTCGCTTTTTGGATGGCAATCACCCCTGCCACCCCTCCAACGGAGTGCTGTTAATAGTCAAAAAGTCAAGTGCTAAGCTTCACTTAATAATAGCTCAATAGTTGCTCTCTTATTCTTTTGTGTCCATATATATGTATATGTATTTAGAAAAACACCAAATATTTTTGTGTTTAGGGAATCGTCTACAGGTTTACACATACACACACATAAAATACGATACATATGTATAGATATATGTATATATGCTCAAAGGTATTACATAGTAGTTTTTGTTTTTTATATATAAATGTTTATGGAAATGAGAACTCAAACTTTTGCACAGAATAAAATGTATGTATGTATATGTAGTATATATGTATCTATGTATTAAAAGTAATAACGAAAAACCTTAAGGAACATGTTTCGTGTTGTTTTTTTTTTGTTTGTTTCTGTTTTCGTTTTTATGGCATTTCAATTTCCATTCTGCCATTGCACAGTCGTCTTCAGACGCGACGCGAGATAAATAATGTATTCAAATACATTAAAAATGTATAAATAATAATTCACTTACGCTTTAAAAACAAGACGACACTGTGTACTGTGTGATGTGATGTACGGGGGGAGACACGTTAATGCCCATAAAATGATACAGCTATAAACTAGTTGAAACGGATTTGATGCTCCATTTGCGCTACTACAACGACAGGACCTGATTGTCCATGGGCTCATCCTTTACCCGTACTCCCGTGTAGGCGGGATTTATGGCACAATCGTTAAGGAATATGTTTGTATCATTATGATTCAAATGCAGTGTGGGCGCCGCCTCGGGCTTGAAAGCTAAGCATCGGCAACTGCGGCGCCCTATCCGCGCCACAAACAATGCAGTGCACGGCCTTGTGGACAGGCAGATGGGCGGAGCAAATGTGCTTGCCGCGATACCTTTGCAGGTCGGTAACCCTCAATGCCTGGCACCACTCCCTCAGCAACTTGGGATCTGCAAGAATCAACAATAAACAATCAGCCAACACAACTTAGGCCAAGGTCTGTCCTGTTGGTATAAACCTACTGCTGGGAAATTTGTGCAGCTTCACATCCGCCACATCGTAGGCACAGTCGGCCATGCAGCATCTAGGGCCAGCTGTTGTCGGTGGTGGCAGCACTGGCTTCACATCGCCCGTGGGTTCCAGGTGCCGCGTGGGAATGGCATTGCGCATGAGACGCCGCACTCCAATCAGTTCTGGTTCAAAGTGGCGGCTGCAGATGAGTCGAGTGTTGCGCTGCGACTCCTTGAACTTCATGCCGGTGGCCAGCTCCCAATTGCGAATGGAGTTGACTTTGTTGGGCAGTCGGAACAGCTTGATGCCATCGCCGCGTGGACTGCGGCAGTAGGGCAGACAGCATTGCTTCACTTTCCACGGTGGCACTTGGCCCAGTGGCCAGGAGGCATCCGCCAGACGCGAACGACGACGCTTCTTGGCGGTGCTCGCTTCCTGCTCATCTGTCTCTTCATCCTCGTCCTCTTGCAGGCCATCCTCGTCATCATTCCCATCGCTATCCGCCTCAGGCTCTGCCTCTGCCTGCGCCTCTGCATCGCTATAGTTGCAATTTGACTCTCCTGCCGCCTGTCCACTGGCAAACATTTGGCACTGCTCATTCGTGTAGATATCCTCGGGTACATTGTCGCCCAGCTCCAGAGTGGGCACTGCCCAGGGTCGCAGCTTCCTTAGCCGTATGCAGTGCGGCTCAAAGTGCACGCTGCACACCATAAACTTCCACGGGCGCTTCTCGTCGTAGCGGATGCGCAGATTGTGCATCCAGCGCTGCTGGTGCTCCTCCGAGCGTGGGAACTTGTAGATGTGGACGCCGTGCTTTGATCTCTGGCGCTGGCAATGCATCAGCGAGCACTTGTCGTAGCCAGATCTCACCGGATTGAGGGTCACGCGGCTCTTGGAAGGCAAACGGAGCTCCGTTTTCCAGCCACCATTTGGATTTGCCTTTGGTGCCCGCTTTTGCTGTTGTTCCTCTTGATCCTCGTATATATGCATCTCGGGCTCCAGGTAGAGCATGGCATCCTCCTGCTCCTCTTCCTCCTCGTCGAGTGCTCCTCCATCGTCCAGCTCCAGCTCAGTCTTAACCTTCTTCTCCCCCATGTCCAGCATGCCGGGATAACCAACGCCATCTCCCGTGGTAGCTCTACGCGCCTCTGATTTTCTCTCCAACTTCTCCAACTTATCCATCTTGATGTTGATGGCCTCAAAGTCGCTGTCAAAGAGCTCGGCGGGTGCGCGGGGGCCCAGCTTGAGGGTGGGCACGCTGCCGTGCAGCAGCCGCATGTTCACCATGCACACGGGATGGAAGTGGGCGCTGCAGATGCGATAGCGCCAGCGATACTCTGGATCGAAGGGAACCTGTGTGTTGTGCTGCCACTTGACGCAGATCCACGACGAGTGCGGGAACTTGTGGAGTGTCATGTTCTCGCTGGTAAGATGATTCGAACATCCCTCGATCTGGCAAAATTTGCTGGACTTGCGCGGCGGTGAGGGTCGCGGCACGCACGGATTCACCACCTTGCCAATTGTTCGCACCGGCTCCACGTGTTGGTCATTCTGCGCTGGCGCATCGTCCAGCTGCAGCTGTAAGAACTCATTTTGGTGGATAGTTTCGGGCACACGTGGCCCCAGATGCTGCGTAGGCATCGATCCTCGCCTGAGTCGCGAGCCATTGAGACACTGACGGTCAAAGTGATGGCTGCAGACGCGTATGCGCCACGTGTCCTCTGTGTCCACCTGTATGTTGTACAGCCACTTTCTGGCCACCTCCGTGGAGCTGGGCAGCTTGTGCAGCTTCAGATTCCAACCCAAATCCTCCACCGACACGCCACAGCCCTCGACACAGCACTTGTGGGCGCTGTACGGATGGCGAAAACGCTTGCCAGGCCCATAGCGGCTGTGGCGGATATCCGTCGAGTAATCCCGCTTCTCGTAGCTCTCCAGCCGCTCGACATGGCCCACCTCGAGCAGCACCTCCAGCGGCTCATTCGGCTGAAAGTCCGTCTCCTGCGAGTCCATGGTGCTTTCATTTATCAGCAGCTCCGATTCCGTTTGCGAAGCGTCTTCTTCGTCGTCATTGTCGTGGGGTTCCATCTTCACGTACGGCTCCATTGGCAGTCCCTCTGCTATCTGCTGCTCGGCTTTCTGTGCCTGCTCCTCCAGTTTCATTTGCTGCTTCATTTGCTGCCACTCCTCAGGGGTGGGATTCTGGTGCAGCACCTGTCCCGGCAGCAGCGCTGGCAGATGCAGCGTTGGCACGCTCCACGGGTAACATCTCCTGCCCTCGTACAGGCAGCTGGCCTCAAAGTGTTTGCTGCACATCTTCGTCATGTAAATCTCATGCTCGTTCAGCCGCAGCTGTGCGTTCTCCACCCACATGCGCAGGATCTGCTCACTTCTGGGCATTCCATGCATCGTTCCGCCATCCCGCTGGTGCAGGTGGCGGCATCCCTGCACGACGCACATGAAGCGCCGCAGCTGTGGCAACTGACGAGCATGCTCATAGCTGCGGTCCAGCACGAGGTTGTCGGCTCGATCGGGGAAGCTACGCTCATACAGCATGATGTAGTGAACCGGACACAGCCTGAGCCCTGAGGGGCAATCGTCGCCGCTGCTGGGTATGCCCATGTGCTGCAGCCAGGCCTCACGCACCGGCCCATCGCTGGGCAAGTCGTAGGCCATGCGATGGATGTTGGCCTTTTGGCAGTCCTCATAGCAGTCGGGATAGCAGCAGTCGCTGAAACTCTTGTGCAACGGCTTCAACATAGCTGAACCCATGTCGGTGTGATAAATGTCCGAATGCGAGTGTCCCAGCTCCAGCGTGGGCATGGCACCCCGCCGCACGCCCTGATCATCGAAGCAGCTCTCCTCGAAGTGCGTGTGGCACACTCGCAGCGCTTTAATGCGCTGATCCAAGCGGGGCTTTTCCAAGCGGAAGTTGTGCAGCCACTTGTCGGACAGCACGCGCCACTTGGGAAATTTGCTAAACTGCAGATCGGGGTCCTTGCGATTGCTGCGCAAACAGCCGGGCACACAGCATTCGCACTCCTCTTGGAAGGACGCTGGATTGGGCAGCAGCTCCGGCTGCTCGTTGTGGCCCAGGTGGAGCGTTGGCACCGAGCCCGCGTGCAGCTGCTTCTGCTCATTCACGCAGTGCGGCTCAAAGTGTCGCTCGCAGATGTAATGCTCGCCCACCAGCTGCATCGGATACATCCATAGATTGTGGCCCCACACTTCCCTCACACGCGTCCTCTTTGGCACCCTGAAGAGAAGCAATCCCCTGCTGGAGTTACTCGTCACAGGGCATCCCCTGACGAGGCAATGGAGCAGCTGGCCTTCGGTTTTCACACCCACCGCGAGCGGTACGGCCTCCTCGAGTAGGTCGCCCGTCTGCGGATCGTAGCATTCGGGCTGGAAGTGCGACTGGCAGACGAGAAAACCATGACTGCTGGCCTGCATTGAGCGATGCTTGAGATTGGTGGACCACCTGCGCACCATGGCAATGTCGCTGGGATACTTGTGGAAGCGCACACCCTCAGTCTTTGGCTGGAAGCAGCTCAGCACGGAGCAGTAGTTGGCCCGAATAAACTCCATGGCCTGCTCCGTCTCCTGGCTGTTGGCAATGTTCCCATTGTGCCGGGCATTCGGTATGACATGCCCGTCGTGGCCCAGCCGCAGTGTGGGCAAGGCCCAGCTCCTTAGCTGCGTCTTGTTGATGGCATCCGCCTCGAAGTGCAGCTGGCACACAAACAGACTCTGGATGTCCACCAGTCCGGGCTTTTGCTGCGTGTTTACCAGCCACTTGAGCAGCGTTGGTTCGTCGCTTGGAAAGGGATGGAGCCGCTGCGATCTGGCACCCTCGCCGCAGTTGGCAATGCAGCAAATTCTGTTCTTGAGGCGAGGACTGGCACTGCTGCCACTGAGGCAGGGACTGCTCAGCGAAGATGTGCCTCGAGAGCGCAGCACAGGACCCTGCTGCTCCGTCTTGATGTGCAGCGGAATGGAGAGACTCAAGCTGCTGCTTAAGGGAGCTTTCTCCTGCGACTCCTGCTTCACGGGTGGACTCTCGAGCGCATCCTGCTTGACGGGGGAAGTCTCGGGCATCTCCTGCTTCATGGGGGGACTCTCGAGCAACTCCTGCTTCACGGGGGGACTCTCGAGCGCTTCCTGCTTGACGGGTGAAGTCTCGGCCAACTCCCGCTTCACGGGGGAAGTCCCGAGCGCATCCTGCTTCATGGTATTCTGGTGGATCTCTCCATCGTGATTTAGCTGCAGTGTGGGTATGGCCCATTGCTGTGGACGCACGCCGTTCAGGCAATATTCCTCAAAGTGCAGCAGACAAATGCGATAACTAAAATGCAGCGAGCGATCATACGATATCCTCGTGTTGTGCAGCCACCTGGCGAGCAGCTGCGGGTCGCCTGGCAGCTTCGCCAGGTGCGTGTCCTGCTTGTACTTGGAGCCACAGCCCACAACGGAGCACTGAAACTTCAGCGAGATGGAGGCTTGATCGTAGGTCACCTGCAGCCGCTCGAGCACCTCTTCGGGCACATCGCCTGGGAGATCCAGCTCCTCGTACAGCTGCAGAAAGTGCACGCCACACAGTCGACCTTGGCTGTCCAGCGGCAGTCGCATAAACGACAGCCAGGCCACACGTACCGACTCGTGCTCCGGCAGATCGTAGCACAGCTTGCGATTGGGCGGACACGTGGGCCACAGGCACTTCCTGTTCCGGAACACATTCGGACTGGTGTTGCCCAGCTTGAGGGTCGGCACTGCCATGCGCATTGCTGTTCCATTCTCGATCTGACACGCCTCAAAGTGCTCCATGCACAGATGCATATCCGCTGCAGGATTAATGACTGGCAGCCGCAGATTGTGCTGCCACTTTTTGAGCACTCTTTGGTCCATGGGCAGGGGCTGGAATTGTCCGCCTGGTCCGTAACCCTCCACATTGCCGCAGCTGGGTAGGCAGCAAATCTTTGGTTTAGTCTCCATCGGCATCGGCATCTGATGCTGCTGCTGCTGCTGCTCCTCCTCCTTGATCGCTGCTGGAGCTGGAGCTGGACTCTCCGACAGCTTCCTCTTGCGGCAGTGTTTTAGGCTCCAAAGCCGAAAAACCGAATGCTGTGGCATTTCATCGGGAAAACTGCTCATTCTCATGCTGCTGGTGCTGGCTGCCACCGCCTGAGGCAACTCCTGGCCATTGCAGCTGTAACGCAGTGGCACATCGTGACCCACATTGAGCGTGGGCACCGCATTCTGTTTGAGTTTGCGAGTGCCCAGCACCTCCGACTGGAAATGCTCGATGCACACGCGACCAATGCAGCCCGAGGGATCCATTTGCAGATTGGCGCACCACTTGAGCAGCAGCTGCTGGTCCTTGGGGAAGCCAAACGTGCTCAGCAGATACATGGCTGAGCGTTCCTTGCGGCAGTGCTTGAGGCAGCAGATGGGATCCACGTTATTCGGACGCTTCTCACGGCGCACAGGCACAACGGCGGCAGCTCTGTCCCAGGGTTTGGGCATGCCAAGGCCTGCCACTGGATCCGGTTTATGTGGTGTGTCAGGCAGAAGAGTTTCTGGCTCCTCCTCATCCACCCCTCGGGCATCATCTTCGCGTGCCTCATGGCTGTGGTTGTCGTCATCGTCGCTGAGATGCTCTGCGTACGTCTCCACCAGCTCCAACGGATCAAAATAGTTGCCTGGATCCTCATCGTCTTCTTCCGCGTCATCAGCATCTCTCAGCTGCTCTGCTCCCTCGGGCGTGTCATCCTCATGCTCGTCCTTCTCCTCTTCGTGCGTCTCCTGCGGCTCCTCTTCGGGATTCTCCTCCTCCTCCTCGTCCTCCTCGCGCTCCTCGTCGTCCAGCACTTCCGTTTTGGGTGTGACCAGCGGCGAGGCTGCCTCCTCCTCGGCCACGCCCGCCTTGATAGCCTCATTGTCGTAGACCAGCGGCTCCTCATGACCCAGCTTTAGCGTGGGCACAGCGCCTGTCTTGAGCTTCAGTTTGCCCCGCACCTGCGGCTCGAAGTGATCAGCACAGATCCTCCCACGGCACTGATCCAGCGATAGGCCGAGATTTGCACGCCACTTCTCGAGTAGATCCTCGGCGCGCGGATACCGATACGTGCGCAAATCATTGTCAATGCTCCGCCGCTTGCGGCAGTGCCCCAGCGCACAGGTGGGCGTAAAGAAGCCAGGAATGTTCTTGGGGTTCTCGTAGATTGGCTGCTCCTGGTGCCCCAACTGCTGCGTGGGCATGGCCCAGCCCCTGAGCTGCTTGCCATCGATGCAGCGCCTGTTGAAGTGTGCGCTGCAAACGCGAGTAGACTTGTCCACTTCGTCCGGCTCGAGGCGCAAATTGTGGCGCCACTTTAGGTGTTGCTGCTTGCCGGTGGGAAAGGGAAAGAGACGCGCTCCATGCTCCAGACGACTGCGGCCACAGGTGCGCACACAGCACTTGACATCGCCCAGAGATTTCTTGATTTTAACCTGAAAAGGGAGGGAGGTTAAATCTCTGGATTGCTGGCCGCACGGGCTACCTCTTACCTGTGTAAAATCCGTGCTCACATCGGGCTTTACGTCCCGGAAGTCTGGCTCCGTCTCCGTGTCTGGCAGCTCCTGTTTGATGGTCACATTGTTGAATCCACGCAACAGGCGTCGCGGACGCCCAAACAGGTTGCTCTGCAACTCTGCGGGATTCACCTTGAACAGATCCTCCGTTTCGTCGTGGCCCAGCTCCAGCGTGGGTATCGAACCAATGTTCAGGCGCGTCTTGCCAATGCACATGTCCTCGAAGTGGGCATTGCAAATCTTGTACTTTTCGCGCTCACTGAAGCTGAGATGCTCCAGGCGGAGGTTGTGCCGCCAGCGCTGAAAGTGTTCCGCATCCTTCGGGAAGCTATTCATTTGGACCTCGTCGAAGCGACGCGTCTTGCCGCACGTGGGCACAATGCATTTGAACACCGGATCCACGTAGCGCTCCTCCGGCTTGGGATTTAGTATCAGCTCGATCTGTGAGTCGTCGTGGCCGAGCAGCATCGTGGGTATGGCCCACTTGTACAGATGCTTGGGTCCGATGCAATCCGCTTCGAAATGCTTGTTGCAGATCCGCACACCGATGCAATCGACGGGATTCATCTTGAGATTGTTGCACCACTTCCACAGCATGTCGTCGTCGTCCGTGGGGAAGCGGAAGAGACGCACCTCCAGCTGCTCCTTGGACGATTCACAGCCCTCGACGGCGCAGTGCTCGTCGGCAAAGGCCTGCGCTTCGTTCGGGAAGATATCCTCGTCGTCGTGGCCCAGCTCCAGGGTGGGTATGGCACCGGCGCTCAGTCTCCGCCCGTTGAAGGAGTGCGTCTCAAAGTGGCGCGAGCACACGCGATACTGACTCCTCATGGCCGCCCTCGGGCGTGTCCTGATGTTGTGCATCCACTTCCGCAGCTGCGTGGGGCTGTGCGGCAGCCGGAAGAGCTGCACGCCCTGGGCCCTGGTCTTGCGGCAGCTCTCCACGATGCACACGCGCTGCAGGCACAGCTTGTTGGCCTTCAGCTTGGCCGGATTCTGGTAGATCTTGTGGCCGGGTGGCGAGTTCAGGTCCAGTGTGGGCACCGCCAGCGGCACCGGGCACTTTTTGCTGAGAACATGCGGCTCAAAGTGTGCGGAGCACACACGCCGCTGGGCACTGCCCACCTGCGGCACCTGTAGATTGTGCGCCCACTTGGCCAGCGTGGAGCGATTCAGTTTGGGGAAGCGATACAGCTGGACATTGTGCAGGGCACGCACCTTGCGGCAATGCGGCAGACAGCAACGCGGCACCCACGTGGGCTTCGCCACGGGCAGGGACTTCTGCTTGAGATGCGTCCGCCGCTTGTACAGCATCGAGTGCTCGGGGTTCTCGTACAGATTCTCAATGTTGCCGGCCAGATTGAGCGTGGGTATGGCCCACGGACGCATGCGCTTTCCAATGCAGTGAGCCTCAAAGTGCAGATTGCATATCCGCAATCCATTGGTGAGCACCGCGGCCTCCGTTTGTAGATTGTGCGCCCATTTGGCCAGCACCGAGGTGTCCTCTGGCGGGCGATACAGCTTGATGTCATCCACACTGGGATTCCGCTTGCATGTCTCCACACAGCACTCGCCCTGCTCCTCGCCATTGTTGGGAGCGGTAGGCCGTGCATAGAATTCGGCCACCTGCTCGGGCGTGGGCAGCTGATAGGCAATGTCCTCGTGGCCGAGTATTAGCGTGGGCACAGCCCACTTCTCCAGCCGCTTGTTGCGCAGACAGCGATCCTCAAAGTGCACCTCACAGATGGCATCGTTGAAGAGTTTGCTGCCATCGGGCACTGTGCGTTGGAGGTTCGCACACCACTTGGTCAGCAGCGCCACATTGCTGGGGAAGCGATGGAGGTTGGCGTGGTCTCTGTCCCGATTTCGCTTGCACACGGCCACGCAGCAGGTCTCGCGTATGTTCAGCTTCTTGATCACATCCGGATTGCGGTGTATGTCCTCGTCCTCGTGCCCCAGCTGCAGTGTGGGCACGGCGAACGGACGCATGCAGCCGCCAATGCAGTATGGCTCAAAGTGCAGGCTGCATATCCGCATGCCCTTGTGCATCTTGTCCTCGGGTATCTTTAGATTGTGGCACCACTTGCGCATCTGCTCGGGCCTCCGCGGTATCGTGTGGAATGTGATGTTCTCGCTGTTGTGCCGCTTGCTCTCGCAGCTGGGCACGCAGCACACGTCCATGCAGTCGCTGGCATTCATGCCGCCCGAGGAGCTACCCGCAGAGAGGCTCAAGTACGAGCCACTCATCTCGGGATCCACATAATGCGAGGCCGAACTGGCGGAGGATGATGTGGAGGCTGCCGAATGGCGCTGATAGGATTTGCTGAGCATTGCCGGATGCTGCTGCTGCTGCAGCGAGGAATGATGATGCTGCGACGTCGATTGCTGCGGCATAAGCTGCTGCCCATGCTGTCCAGTGGGCGATGGCGGTGGCCACAACTCATTCTCGTAGATATTAAACGTGTCATTGTGTCCCAAGTGCAGCGTGGGCACGGCACCTGCGAAAGGGAGTGACTCAAAAGTGTATCTTTGGTTGAATATATGTATTTCACTCCTGGCTCACTCACCTGGCGACAGTTTCCTCAAGCCCAGCGCTTCCTTGATGAAATGTGCACTGCATATTTTATGATTCTTGCCACGATAGACGCCCGGATCCAGTCTCAAGTTGTAGCACCAGCGTCGCAGCAACACCTCATCGCGTGGAAAACGATACAGCGACATGTTAAAGTCCGAGGAGCGGCTCCGACGGCAAAAGTTCAGGCAGCAGCGCTTCTCCTCCACATACAGGTTCTTGGGATTGTCATGGATCTTGCCGTACTGCGCACCCAGATGCAAAGTGGGTACGGCCCAGGGCTTCAGTCGGAACTTGCCAATGCATCGATCCTCAAAGTGGCGGCTGCAAAAGTGTCTCGGCTCCTTGGCTTGCACCGGCAGGCGGGCATTCTGGCACCACTTTATCAGGCTCTTGATGTCCTTGGGGAAGTTGTAAAACTTCAGATTGCTCTCGCCCCGCTGGCTAGTGCAGTGTGGCATGCTGCAGCGCGCCACCTCGCCGGTGGTAAATGTGTTGGTAAGCTCGCGATTCTGGTACAAATTGGCGACATCGTCGTGGCCCAGATTGAACGTGGGCACCGCCCAGTAGCACAGCGAATAGCGATTAATGCAGCGCTTTGGGAAGTGCATGCTGCAGATGCGAAATGTCGCATAGCTGGCCGCTGGTATGTGGAACATCTTGAGGTTGTGCAGCCACTGGTTCAGATACTTTTCGTCCTTGGGGAACGTAAAGAACTGCAGCGTGGGACTGGTACTCTTGCGCACGCCGCACAGCGGCACACAGCACAAAGCATCCTCGGAGTCGTCCAGCGTTGAGGAGTGCGCTTGGGGTCCGGCTAGAGCGCCGCCATGAATGGAGCTATCACTGCCATAGGCATTGTTGTAGCTGCTGTTGTCCTGATGGCTGTACGAGGACTCGCTGGTGGAGTTGCTGTAGCTGCGCTCCAGCTTGACGCTTACCTCCCTCTTCAGCGACACGGCGGTGGAGGCGACGGCAGCGGTGGAGGAGGCAGCAGAAGCAAACATGGCCGCTGCTCCATCGGCATTCGCTTGTCGCTGCTGCAGCAGAGAGCTTAACGCCGCTGTGGCTGGCAGGGCCGAGGCATTCGCAGGCGTTGGTACTTTAAGCAGTGGTGCTGTGGGCACTGTGGTGGGTAATCGGAAATGTTAGCAATCAATTAACTTTGAAGACTTCAATTTGCTGTTAAACTTGCTTTCCATGGTGGCCATATGACAGTCCTGCAGCTTATAGTTGCCCTGCTGCTGCTGCTGTTGCTGTTGATTGGTGTAGTACTTGCCGCAAAAGTATGGAGCCGCCAGCCGATGCTCGTGCAATTCGACGGCCGTTTGATACCACAAACGACAGATGGGACAGTCGTAGCGCTGCTGAAACTTGTGCTGCGGCAAGTGGGCGTACAGCTGCTCGCGTGTGGCAAACGTGCCCGAACACATCTGCGGGGGGAAAACAGATTAAATAAGTGGCTTATGTTGGCTACCCTCTAGTGTGGGCTGTCTACTCACATTACACACAAAACTCTCATACTCGTGCTGCATGTACTCATGCGTTTCGCACTCGGCTATCGTATCGAAATGCTTGCCGCAGTATTTGTGGCAGAAGAACTTGTCCGCGCGATGCAAATGCTTGTGCCGCTGCAGCTCTTCGCTGCTCATGAAGGACATGGGGCAAATGTTGCACTTGAAATCGTACTCCTGTATGCCACAACTGCTCTCGGCCACATGCCTAAGGTAGGCTTGCTTCTTGAAGAACACTTCCTTGCAGCGCTGACAAATGGGCAGACTCTCCGCCGAACGATCTGTCGTTGGCTGTTGCTGTTGTGGCTGCTGCAGAACTTTGCGGCGTGCAAAGCTGCTGCCACTGGAGGTCTAAAACGAAAATCAGATTTTTGGACATTAAATACGAATTTTGATTTGTGCCATAAACTCACCTTGCCATAGGTCTCATCTTTGATGGTTAGCTCAACTTTGGGGCTGAGCATATCGCCGCTGAATTCGTTGAATTTATTAAAATCAGCAAAGGGCGTATTGTCGTCTATGTAGTTGGACTTGTACGGATGTTCATCCATGGGTTCCGCTTTAGAGAGACCATAAACACGTTTAAGGAATCAATAACAAATCTTTAGGTACAAATAAATTATTTGCATGGGAGGTTTTCGTTCTTTTGCGCCTCAGAAAAATGTCTGTACCTTTTGTTTTCGGTTTCTATGGTAGCCACAAATCGTGGGTAATCGTAGAGTGAATGGAAAACTCTTGGCTTACAATGAATTTCCATAGAAAATTCCAGCAACTATTACTCTTCGCTCGTTCCATATAACTCGTTGATGATATCGTATCATCTTTCATGCGAATAACTTTGAATTTACATGTCGATTTGATGCATCCCTAATGACAAACATTTTCTCTATTTGTTTGTCCATCAATTATGGCCTGATGCCCCGCCCAAATGGTTATTGATAGATAGAGTCGCTTGGACAGAGGAGAGGAGAGGAGGCGGTAACAATATTATAGGTTAGTCTTACATAAGAAACCGACTTGAAAGAGCTTCTGCTGCTGCTGCTGCACCTACCTCAAACTCAACCTATGACCATTCCAATACCAATTTCAATTCCATTTCCCCTGAGAGCAAAACGATATTTACATATGTGTGTTTAATATTGAGCATTCTCTGTGTGCTGTGCCATATGGATGCAGGGTATTACTACGGGTATTACTGCAGTGTGCCGGTAATGTAAAGCATCTCTATCCGTAGGAAGAGAGTATACTACATTTTGCTAAATAGAGATACATACAGACAGGGCAAACAGACACACATAACGGAATAGAACGAAGCAAAACAGAGATACAGCGATACAGCGATACAGAGTAGACCCCGTCCGTAAGTAGACGAACGACTGAACCGAAACCGAAAACCAAACCGAAACCGAACGCAAAAACCTCAGCCAAACGCCAAAACGTTTTATTGATTCCGGAGACGGCAAAATGAAGCTGAAATTACGGCTACTTATAGGAAAAATGGCCACCTAAAGTACGAATAATCTCTGGCTGTGTGTGTGTGTGTTGGTGTGTGTTTGTGTATCCATAATGAAATGGATTTTGCGCTCAAGTTTCTTCGCTATATCTCCCCTATAATATCATTTCGGGAATATCCCGAGAGTTCTCTGTAGTTTAACTCACATTTTATTATCATATCTGGCGCTGGGGGTGGTGCCATCGGATTGGGTGGCTGCTGATACGCCGCTGATACATCCATTGGTTCGCTTTTGATGTACGGATATGTCCCAGACATTATATCATGCCCCATATAGGAACGCTGACTGAGATGCTGCTGCTGTTGATGATGGTGTTGCTGCTGTTGCTGATGCTGATGGTGCTGTTGGTACTGCAGCAGCTGGTTGTGGGCATAAGCCACTGTGTTGGCCTCAAGGTTATAGGCTGCTGACCCACCCCCAACGCCACCCACAGCATTAACATTGAGCCCACCGCCAGCGGCGGCGGCAGCAGCAGCAGCATAATATCCATGCGTGCTGCCTGCTCCATAGGCACTCATGTTGTTGTTGTTGGCACTGCCACTGCCACTGCCCTTACAAGGTGTGGAGGTGGCGGCAAATGCCGAGGTAGCCGTCGCATGGTGGTGGGGTGGCGGTGGCGGGTAGGAAGCAACATGTGAGTACCAATTGTGTGTACTGTGTGGCATTTGCGAATGCTGCTGTTGTTGTTGTTGTTGTTGTTGTTGCTGTTGTTGTTGTTGCTGCTGCTGCAACTGCAGCTGATGATGGTGGTGGTGGTGTTGTGTCTGATGCTGGTGCAGTGGGTGGTGATGGTAGTGCGGATGGGCATGTGGATTATGCTGTGACATTACGGACGGGTAATCAAAATTCGTCTTTGGGGGGCAATGCAAATCTGTTTTCCAGTGCAGGGAACACACACAGCAGAGGAATTGGCCCCCGTGCTTTAGGGGCGCGCGCGTATCCTCTCTTTTTTGCACGCTCCGTCTTTTCTCATTGGCGTCTTTTATATACCAGTTTTTTCTCTTCTTTTTCTTCGTCAATCTTCGTCTGTGTGTATGTATCGAAATGTCATTATTGTTATTGGCCGCTTGCCGTTCTTCGTGGGCACTTAATTATGTGGCACATTGCACATATGTATCCTTTTAGCTCTCTGGCACTTGCAGTTTTCATCTATTTCTAGCGGGCATCGAATTTTAACCATATTTTCCGTTTTCCGTTTTAACGCGCGAGACGAAACGAGATGGCACCGAGACACAACAACAAAGTTTGTGGTGGCCGCCCCAGTGTTATCTGAAAACTATTATCGATAGTAGCAGAGCTTACACGCATATCGGTATACTGATGGCATGGCTATCGACCATCAGATTTGAAATTAAAAAAAATGTTGCTGCACATTATTTTGATTTGTATCTATTTTTAAGTGATCTTAGGCCCCACCAGGCCCACTCGTTGTTGCAACTGCTTCTTAATCTGTTCGCCATCGGTCACAAACTGTTCCTCCGCCAGACGCACCAGCGTTCGGCGCAGCTGCGACTTGACCTGCGTTACCTTTGTCGAATTAATGGCCGATATGGGAACAATACTCTCGAATTTTAGGACCCGCTTTGGACGCACCTCTTCCGGACAGTCGGCCAAGCCGATGGACAAATCATCTATGGAGGGTTTCACTTTGGTAAGAATCTCATGCGCTCCCTCCTTGTCCATTTTGTTGAGCAGCAGCACACAGGGTTTGTCCAGCAACGAGGGATCGTACAGTTCCAGCTCTTTGTTGAGCGAATATATGTTAGCCAGGCAGTCACGATGAGGGTGCCGCGGACTAAGCTGAAAGCCGAATATATCCACCATGAAGAGCAGCAGTCGAGTGCGTTCGATGTGCTTGAGGAACTTGTGGCCCATGCCAAAGTTGGCATGAGCGCCCTCTATCAGACCGGGCAAATCGGCCAAGCTGATGGAGCGCAGATCGCCGTACTCAATGGTTCCAATCTGTGGACGAATAGTTGTAACTGCAAGGACATAGTCAAGTGGTTTCAGTTCACAAAAAAACATTCAACTAACTTACAAGGATAGGCAGCAATCTTCGGCTTGGCATTGGACACTGCCTTGAGCAGGGTGCTCTTGCCGGCATTGGGAAATCCGACGAGACCCACGTCTGCGATAAGCTTTAGATCGAGGTTTACAATGCGATTCTCTCCAGGGCGGCCGAGGAAATTGTTGCCTGTGCAGCCGCCGGTTCCACCGCCCGCCACTATGCAAGTGGCATCGTTCTCATTCAGGTCCGCCAACAGCTTCTGCTGTTCGTCGTACACCTGCACTCCGACGGGCACCTCGATGCGCGTGTCCACGCCGCGTTTCCCAAAAATGCTAAACTTGCTGCTGTCCTCACCGCTGCTGGCCGCCACACGCCTCTCTTTAAGTCCCTGTGCCATTTTCCGTAGTGTAAGTCCCTCCTTGGCCACAAAATAAACACAGCCGCCCTGGCCGCCCACTCCCCCGTATTTCGGTAAGCCATTGCCGCCGTGTCCGCCGCGAACTGCGAGTCGCAGCGAGTCCAGAAAGCTGGGCCGGAAATGGGCACGAGAAGGCTGCACAGAACAATAAAATGGTGATATGGAAATCATTACTGAAGTAGCTTAATTACCGATTTAGTTGATTTTAAGAGGTATTTAAACAGCTGAACCATCGTTCGGCATTATACAAGAGAGATGTGAGCACAGTAATTGCTTGGTTCACGGTGACTGCCACAAGTATCGATAGCTATTGAATGTTCAGCTGTTTGGCTGCGCGCAGACTGAATGGCAAATCAGAAGAAGTACCAGCCAAAACGTGAGACAAAAAAAAAAACAATTTGTTGAAATGGAACCCGGCATTTGCTATATAAAACCAGAGTAAAAACCTAAAGAATATGAAACCTTTGAATTCTTACGATTTCTAGCAATTTTAGATATCTGTTGACTGAAGTCAGTGGCAACAGTGAAGCAGCACCGGCGGAAAGCTCCGAAAGCAACAAAAGAAAGCGCGCGGATGGTGAAACTGAGGACTCTGGCGGGAAAAGAGATAGCAAAAAAGATCGAAAACGTGGCCAGAACAAGGCGAGTAAACGCCATCATCCCAGTCTTAGTCTAAGTATAAATTCCTTTTCTCCCAAACAGAATCGTCCCGTGTTCAAGGAGGATCGTTATTCACATCTTTGCCACTCTTTGATTGATGGACCCGGCGGTGCTCCCTGCGCTTTGGCCAACTGTCGCTATGTTCACGATCTGGACGCCTTTCTGGCAGCCAAGGGCGAGGATTTGGGCTCGGAATGTTATGTGTATGCCACCAAAGGATATTGTGGCCGCGGTGTCACTTGTCGCTTTTCCAAGGCGCACACAGACGATCGGGGCGTTAATATAAAGAAGGAAAACTGCGATGCAAAGACCACGCAGACCACATTCAATGGGATTACACCAGGCGAGTAGCCATTGGTGGCTCCACAGTGAAGACTTGTACTCATACGAACATTCCCACAGATCTACAGGTGCGCCTGAGGAAGCATGAATACAATTTGGATCGCAGCAAATTATTGATTGCCGTGGCCGAGAAGATTCGTGATGCCCGGAAAGAAAGGGAGCTGCAGGAGAAGAAACTGGAGGTGCAGGAGAAGAATCTGGAATTGCAGAAGAAGATCAATCAGCAGGGTGACATCACAATAGACCACGAGGCCGAGGCTAAAGCTGCAGAAGGGCCTGCAAAAGAGGATGAAAAGACCATTGGCAGTGCTGTCGATGACTCGCCGGTGGGCAGAGATGCTGACCGCAAGACAGCCGTTGATTTTCGCGAGAAGCTCGTTCTCTCGCCACTGACCACTGTGGGAAATTTGCCGTTTCGCCGTATATGCAAGGAGCTCGGTGCAGATATAACCTGCGGCGAGATGGCCTGTGCGGTGCCGCTGCTCAAGGGCCTGGGCCAGGAGTGGGCCCTAACGAAGCGGCATGAGAGCGAGGACATCTTTGGCGTTCAGCTGTGCGGCAATAATCCTAATGTCATCACCCAGGCAGCCCAAGTGCTGCAGGAAACGGCAAAGGTGGATTACATTGATCTCAATATCGGCTGCCCCATTGATCTGATCTACCAGCAAGGAGGCGGCAGTGCACTAATGAGGCGCACCAACATATTGGAGTTGGTTGTGCGCAGCTGTGCCTCGCTGTCCGAGCAGCTACCATTTACTGTGAAGATGCGCACTGGGATCTATGCGGACAAGAGCGTGGCCCACGAGCTGGTGCCCCTGGTCGAGGAGTGGGGCGCCTCGGCCGTGACCCTGCATGGCCGTTCGCGCGAGCAGCGGTACACCAAGCATGCCAACTGGGAGTACATCGAACAGTGCGCCGCCACAGCCAAGCAAATGCCAGTCATTGGCAATGGGGACATACTCAGCTTCGAGGACTATATGGAGCGGCGAGCGCTGGCCCCTCACGTCAGCTCGGTGATGATTGGGCGCGGTGCTCTCATAAAGCCGTGGATATTTCAGGAGATCAAGGAGAAAAAGGCCTGGTCTCCCACATCAACGCAGCGCTTTGAGATGCTGCGTCGCTACTGCAACTATGGTCTAGAGCACTGGGGATCGGACACCAAGGGTGTGGAGAGCACGCGACGCTTCCTGCTCGAATGGCAATCATTCCTGTACCGCTACATACCCGAGGAGCTGCAGCTGTCGCCGCCACAGAAGATCAATGCCAGGCCCCAGAAATATCGAGGTCGCGACGAAATGGAAACGCTCATGAGTTCCGGAAATGCCGCCGATTGGGTGAAGCTCAGTGAAATGCTGCTGGGCCGAGTGCCCGAAGGTTTCAGCTTCGTGCCCAAGCACAAAGCGAATGCCTTCTAGAATTAACATTTCTTAACTTTTGAAACTTTTGTCGTAATCTAGCATATAGATTAAACAATTATTAAGTAATTAGCATTATTATTTGACTGACTTTGAAATGGGATTATCCCATTGGAATCTATTATCAGTTGACAACCGATTCGACAGAACTATACATTTTTATACCCGGTACTCGAAGAGTAAATAGGGTATATTATATTTGTGGGGAATAACTGTTGTATGTAACGCACAGAAGGAAACGTTTCTGACCCCATAAAGTATATAAATTATTTATTCGTCCAATTCTAAACTAAAGCTTACTTCTAAACCTACACCGAATTCTAGCCGGCGAGCCGTCCGCGCTCACAAGAGATAAGAGCCGCCTACGCATAAACAAGATCATGCGATCGCTGGCGCCCAATCAGATAACAGAGCCGCCCGCTGCAACGGCATCTACTGCATCGGCGCCCTCCGTATCGGACTGGATAAGTTAGGGCGGCACATGATATTTCACATTTCTTGTGCGCTAAGTTAGGGTGTCCCATGTTATTGCTTATGTGTTAGCTTATATATTCTTGATCAGCATCTATAGCCGAGTCGATAGAGCCATGTCTGTCTGTCCGTCTTGTTTGTCGGCTAGTTCTCAGAGACTATAAGAGCTAGAGCCACCAAATTTTGGCTCCGGACTGCTGTATGCTCACACTGAAACCAGTAAATTTCAAAAATTTTGTTGTTATTTTCACATTCTATCATTCACACTCTGCTTCTGCTTCACTCGGCCCCTGACTCTGTCGCCCCTCTGCCTTTGCCGCTGCTGACTTTTAACCCACCCCGTCACGCAGCTTATATATGTTTTTTTTGTGTGCGGGCGCTGCCTCTGCCGCGAGTCTGCAGCGTGTGCGGCTAGGGAAGGGACGCGAGCTAAAGGAGCGTGTTGGTGTGAGAAGTGTAGTAGATGTAGATGACAGATCAAATTTGACAAAACACCGCTAAGGTGCAGATGTAGTACCGAGTGCCGGGTATAAAAGTTGTGACGCGTAAGAAGCGTCTCACACGTCCCTTCTCGTTTCATCAGTGACATCGAAGTTAATGATCTTCATACGGGCGGTAAATCTTGAGGCGGAGAGCTGCGGAACACTGGTTTTTTATTCTGTCATGCGATTCGAAAGATATGAAGTGATATCACCTCCTGGTGAGGTGTCTTTAGAGGATTCATTTACACGCAAAACTCAATAAAAATGGTAAAGCATTTGATTTACTTACTTTCCGTGTATTTGAGAATTGATCATTTAAGTTGGGCTGAAAATCCCGGCGGTACTGCAATACCGGGCCAACCCGCGACAGAGGTGGAGCAAGCCCCTAGCACTCCGTCTGATTCCAAAAATCAGTTTAACATTTGTTGTTCTCCAATGGAGAAACTATCAGATGTTAAGCTGATAAGAACA